GATAATATATCATCAAATATAGGAGTTGTCAGTGGATAAAGGACCCATGTACTAGGGAATAACTGCCAAACAATAAACTTTATCAGGAAATATCTCGTAAAAATTATTTTGCTAGATAGGCCCTTCATTTACTTGTGTCTTCAATTTAGAAGCCCATTGCGAAAAAATAATTTAAAATTTTCTTCTTCCATTAACCATAAAATACACATAATTGGAGACTTACTTGTAAAAGAAACACCTCTTTTACGCAGTGACAAAGTATAAAACTATAAACTTCAGTATATGCAGGAATAGTGATTCTAGAATAAATGGTTTGTTCTTCGTTTCCTTCCACACCTGACAGACATTCGTTAGCTATGATTTCTTTAACTTTAGAGTGCGATCTCTTGTCACTTTCATTGTTTTTGTACTCGAATACCTATAAGAACAAAGACTAACTAAATATCAATATACCCTTGTATATACATAAGTACATTTGTAAATCGAATACGTTAACACCTTTTAAAAATCGGTTTTAAATTTACTTTCCGAATTTGGTTTGTAATTTATCAATCTATTTGATAGCTTACTTATTAGTTATGAATCCGGAAGTTTTTAAAATGTGAAAATTGAATTTCCTTCAGTTTTCATTGGTGAAAATTATATTTTGACCCGGTATTTAACTAGCCGCAGCAGTTCAAAGATGGAACAAATTATTCAAAATCCTCAAAATGTAAATAAATCAGAAAAACTTATATTGCCTTATCACTTTTATTTTTTAACATATCTATGTATGCTATAATAATATGTATACCATTGATCCTTTGACCCGTTACCCCCTCCACAATCCACGCTCTCTCTCTCTTCCTCTTACATATTCGAATCATTTTTCATTTTCAACTCATATTAGAAATATAGTAAAATCTGCTAACCGCATGTTAGGGTATGTAATAAGGCAAACAGCTACTTTTACCAATACGAACACTATAAAACTTCTCTATTACAGTTTAGTTAGGACCAAGTTGGAATAGGCTTCTCTAATTTGGTATGGAGAGTATCAATATTCAATGAAAGAAGTTGAAAAGGTCCAAAACAAACTACTTAGATATTTGTTCTACAAAACACACCATGTTAGACCAGATTCTAATATAATAAGGAATAGATTGAGTGTTAAATTTGCAGGAATGCGACGAATATAATATATATTTCCTTTTCCACTCTTCTGGAACTAAAATGACACATTCTCGGATGACACTATCAAAGTCCCAGCTCGTGAAATGGCTGTCTGTACAATTAAGACATCGGCATCTTCTGTTTCCTGCTTAACCTGAATCTCCTTCGCTTCCATTTCAGACATCAAAAGTGCGATTAAGTTTTTCTTGTTTATGTCATTAGCTAGAAAAGTTGCTCGTGAAAGTGTACCGCAGGGTGTTTGAAGAGGAGCAAGTGGTTTGTTGGGATGGGTAAATAGGTTACATTTTGAGAAATTTATTCCAACTTTGAACTGCTACGTCACTGTAAGAATGAAGTAAAAAAAATTTACAATTGAAAATTAAAGGAAATTTAATGTCCCTTTTTTGTATTTGGGACCTTTTTTCTAAAACACGCATGATTTAAAAAAATAAGCGAACAATATAAAAAGTTGACCCTCCCTCCAAGTAAGCACAGGCTCCTCGAGGTCGAAAACTCCACACCCCACATAATTCCCTAATGTTGACCCAAAATTTCATTAAGTTCGGAATTATGACCTGGTAACCACCTTATTTTTTCCTTGTCGACTGGATTATTGATAAAGCCAGCTCTTATTTTTGACTTACCCTTTTTAAACATACCGACATCGACTCCATTTTGTGAACAGAATTGTTTTGAACATGTATTTTAACGTTGATAGTTTCTCCTACAAGAAAGGCATTTTTTTCTAAAGACATGCTCATCTCAATGGGAGTGGAAGACCAACAGCAACATCCTACTCTGTTAGAAGAGCTTCCAAGGCTAAAAGGTTTCTATAAAATAATTATTATATAATATTAACTAACATGCTTTATTATAGGTTCGTAAACAAAACATAACCCATTTATGTACCTAAAGAGCAAAAGTAAACGTTTTTAAATTGTATCTTACAAAGACTTATTCCCTAAAACACTATTGTAATATTTGTACTTTCTCATCAGTATTATAAATATAAACCGTCTTCATGAACAAATGAGAATGATAAAATCTACGCATATCATTTTGTCGATAGAAGTGGTGCCTAAAAAAAGGGATGTCTACCAACCCGGCGAACTCCTCTGTTGTTTCATTCACAAGAATAATAAACCTGCAACGAATGGGATCTTTATATTTAGGAACAGCATCTAAAAATAGCAAAAGATAAATATTTCAGAATCACCCATCTACAGCCGTGTAGAAAAAACAGCAGGAAAAAGCTGAAAGAGTGCTATTAGTATGTACACGGATGGTAGGAACACATAAGGGCTTAAACCAAGTATGATGTACTGGCTTCATATTTCGTACCCGTTGTAACCGACTAAGCAGTCATATAGTGGTACATGGTTAAAAGCATAATAACTAGATACAGTACACATACTGGCCTCTCTAATAATAATAGGGCCTTTAGAAGTACGCCCACTACAGACATGGAGCTACTTCTAGGTCTTCTTCCATTACAACTTTTGGTGTAAAAAGAAGATATGGTGGCGGCATACAGGCTGGTCAGAAATAGATTTGGATGGGAACTTACAAGAAAAAGACACAATACATTGATATTGGAAAAATTAAAACAAAATGCAATATTAATTCGAGAGACGCTAAAATGGTGGTTCCCACCTTGTCGAGACTGATACCCACAAGGGTAAACTTGTAGCGTAACAAAAACGAGAAATGATTTAACTTGGAACGAAAGACCGAAAGCCGATTGTCGGGGTTATGATGGACAAGTAATGTTATTTTTAACAGATATGTTATTTGTGAACAGCTTGTTATTTCTATGTGTTTATAAAATAACATACCTGTTAAAATAACACAGATTGTCAATCATAACCCCCTGTAATATTAGGAAGTTGAATTTTTTGTTTTGTGAAGCATTGACATTACTTAGGTTAAACCATGTGATGATTTTCACAAGCCTTCATTTTTAAAACCATTTTATATCGCCTTTTTATTAAGGTTTAAAAACTTGTTCGAGTAATATATCCAATAATAATTGGCCCCTATATCTCTTAAGCCTGCTCATGTAAAATATTTGGGCTCCTTACTTCGCCTATTTATATTCTATTAATAAAGGACAAAATGATGAGTATTGCAACTACATATGTTAAAAGAAATAAATTGCCTTTCAGTTCAATTATGTTCAGTACATGACTGATATTTATTTATAAAATAAACATGACATAGTACCATCGCATCATATCTATTAGAAAAAATTCAATATAATTCGTAATATCACTACTATAATACAAGAAGCCAATCTGACTTTCATGTACGGCAAGCCATCACTAAAAGTTCCCAAAATACAATTTTTATTATAGGTTTAAAAAATTTAATAGACTGCCTACAGAAATTAAAAAAAAAAACAACAATAAATGTATGCAAAAGTAATCTCAAACAATAATTGATAAATAAACAGAACGGATATACTTTCTTGTGATAATACTTTTTAAACCTGCCCTTTTTAAGTATTTCCCTTAATTTATTGTTATTATCTCTCATTTTACCCGCATTTACTTGATGTTATATTAATACTACTTACTATGTTTAAATTATTAATAGTTTTGCAACGATAGGTTATAGCAACTTATGGCCACAAAACTATTTTTGTGTTAAAGTAGATCTATAGAGAGTAATGTAATTTACAAAGGCCTTCTTTCAACATACAAATAAATGACAACTTTATAATTAAAAATAAAAACACAACAAAATATATCGGTATCATAATTGATCAAAATTTGAAATGGGTTGATCACATTACGTCATTAAAATCCAAAGATAAGAAAATTCATTTTTAAATTTTATTAATTGAGGAAATTTATTACTAATTATTATTTACAATTCGCTGGTTGAATATGTAATCCAAAATCGTATAATTAAAATCATCTACAAAAAAACCAGCATTATATCCTACCTCTCTTTTATAAAATAAAAATTGCTTTGTATAAGAACATTATATTATCTGTCTTGCTGTACCTTTATTTATGGAAAGCCTGAATTGAGATACACTACAAATTATTTGCAATAAATATCAAAAGAAGTATACATTTTTAAATAATTTGACATTTAAGAGCCATTCACACATCATAGTTGACATCTTGGTACTTGACAAGCATTATTCTGATTTTTGCCAAATCAAATGGACGGTTAATTATTGTATGAGGTTGCGACAGAGAGCCAGTACATTTGATGGTGTTTTTGCGGCTAGGAACGAAATAGTAGTACGCTTAAGTTAGCACCACTATAAAAAAGTAATTTTTAAGAAACTGCTTATATATTTTTCATAAATATGTAGGCTTGGCGACTAATTTCGAATAAAAATAGCCTCCAAAATGTCAAGTATGAAGGTCGCAACCCGCCTTAGAAATTTCACCTTTACTATCAACAGCTGTTGTTTGACAGGTTGTTAGAGAATGTTTGCAATTTATGGAATGTAAAGAATATTAGGAATGTTGACATTAGAAATAATTGGAATTCCTAAAATTGTCACATAAGAAAAGCATAGGCGGATTTTATGAAAATTGATATTAAAGTAGTTAGGATGAACCGAAAATTCTGAAAATCAATAGGGTTCTAAGTTAGAAGTAATTATTCAAGAAAATCAAAACCGCAAGTCAATCAGAACTTTCGTTCTAGAGTTATCGTGTCGGCATGCATACACACAGACGACCAGACGAAAAATTTTTTTTTACATTTTCGGACTGAAAATGATCGAAAACTTAAAAAAGTTTTAAAAAATGGGGGTAAGAAAATTTTTTCGTCTGCACGAATGCAATACTGAGGCCCCATAGAAAGGGCCTCAGTAATAATGCCATTGGATAGGGATAGAATACTTATTATTCATAACCAACTTTTCAGTATTAAAATACCGGAAAAGGCTAAAATCTTGGAAAATATGGAAGTACAGAATGAATTAATATGGTACACACTGGAATTTACCATGTGAATTCAGGAAAGATAATTCGTCTAAACCAGGGGTCATTGGCAACATGTTTTCGGGATAAAGTAAGAGCTCTAAATACCGTGCCCAGAATATGATAAATATTTTTTATTAGAAATAAGAGAGTCTTTATTATGACCGACAATCAGGCATCCCTTAAAGTACTGCAAAGAGTAAAAGTACAATCCAAAGTAATATTGGACTGCCACCAGTCCCTCCAGCCACTGACAAAACACAGGTGTCGGTACATGAAGGTATGTTGTAAACGAGAAAGGAGATGTACTAGCCAGCTGAGAAAACTAACTGGACCAGATCCCACATGTGGTATTTCATATGTACATGTCAAGGGGTGTTAACGGAACACCGTAAGCTCTAGTTAGAACTTCCTGGACACAGGGTACAGAATAATATTAGAGCAGAAAAACTTAACTGCTTACCCTACCACAATAAAACTCTTTACATTAAGAATAATAACCTGATGGGGTCACAACTGAGATGGATACAATAAGCCTAAAGCTTCAGTGGGTTTTGAACCACATCCTAAATACTTTATAATTACGACCCTTTTACTCGTTTACATTTGGGAATATTTAAGGTTAAATGTTTTATTTTTAAATCTGTACATGTTACCATAATAAGATCCTTTTCAAATTTTCTTAAATCCACGTTAGCGAACACATGCAATATCACTACATCTTCTTGACTGTTAGATGGGATGTCGACGACTGCCTTCAAGATGTACTGCACTAGAGCTGGATGATCATCAAAACTGCTGGGTATGTCAACTGGCAAATCAATGGAAAATGGATATTCGTATCTACCAGGTTTTAAGATGCCTAAAATATATTTTCTGACTACATTAATTATTCATATAATGAATATAGATGCGATCAGTCTTCAAATAAAATCCAATCTAATGAAAATGTACTCGAAAATATTAACTTTGTTACTGTCTAGATTATTCATTAGATTCGTAGATTCTAATACTATTTTTATTTGGATGGATATAAAGAACTTCCATAGTGGGAAAATCTAAAAAACCACATGTTTTTCGGTAATCGAGATATAATTTAAATCCTTTAAGTTGTCCATAAATTTGTGGGGAATATAAATTACCTCTTGGAACAAGGATTTGTTTCCTATTAAAAAATTCCTTTGCTTTATGGGGGTGGCTGCCAATCAACTCCAAACCTTTGAGAACACATCTAATTTCTAAAAAAAAATTTATTCTAAACTTAATTTTATTTTCCCATATTGATTATGGTCAATATAATATATATCGTGAAGCTTTTACCTAAAATTTAGAAAAAAATTAGACTGTTAACATTAAAGATTATTGTACCAAAATATTCTGTTTAATCAGGCATATCCTAATGATTCTATTAATTTCCTTTTTTTTTAAACAAAATATTTCTTGTTGAGTAAGAACCTTTAATATTTTCATGGACGCAAAATTTACACTGTACTCTTCCTGACACCTTGTTTCCTGCATGTACTTTATGTGGACAATCTAGCACAATTCTGCACCCCATCTTGAAATTTTACTACAAAATACACATAATCCTTAAAAATGGTATATGTTGATTTTGAATTTAATGTCAGCAGTAATAAAAACAGCTAATAAAATGTCAGTTTAAGGCATAAGACATGATGTACAGAGGACTTTGCCAAATAAAGACAGAGATACGGGTCTTCTCCTTGAAATATTATTTAAAAAAGAAGAATAGGATGACTGGTAATACACACTAATTTTAAGTGACATCATGAATTAATAGATGGCAAAATAGGCTGTTTTAAAAATATAACCTGCTGTCATATGACAAAATTTTTAATATTCTGATTACGATCGTATTATTTTTTGATGGTAATCTAAGTTCTAGAAAGGAGAAGCGAAGTCGATTTAAAAACTGAATTGATTTTTTTTCAATGATTGTTAAATCAGATGAAGGAAGATGAGTGTCTGTGATATGACAAATACTGTTTATGTACTAAAATAACATGCACAGGAAAAAATATTTTTGCATCCACGATTTATTGCTATTTGTTCTCTTGTAAATTGTGTATTACATCCTTAACTAATGAATGTTTGTTTTTTGCAGAAGCAGATAAGAGAGCAAAAATATCAACGTCAAAAAAAGAGTGTGAGAAGTCAATTGCCGCATGGCTCAAGCGGGCGAAAGAGCGGCAATTGACGCAAAAAATTATCTTCCCATTCAAAAACATGATTTTATAAAATATTCAAAATAAATAAAAATTTAAATGAACATCTCTTTTATTCATAAAATATTAATCGATGTATCCTTTTAATAGCCTATGGATGTAGTGCAGTGTATATCCCGGGGATAAAGTATACGGGATATCCCGGGAATAAAGTATTGGGATATACCGAGGACGTCCCGTTTTTTAACATCGTATATTCTCAGGATAAACTAGGGATATCGCAAAGCCAAAACCGTATATCCCGAGGATATACTAATGTCCCATCGGATATCTTCGGGATATCCCTGGTACAGACTTGTGCTACCTGGGCAATAAATGCAATAGTAATGTAGTGATGAAAATATTTAAAAAATTACCTTTCAATACATTTTACTAAATGGAAAACGCAATTCATAAGTCGGTTAAGAATACTCGAAAATCAGGTAAAAATACTTGGCGTTGCCAACACAGGGTGTCGCGATCGAAGCCAAGTGTAAAAGCTAGCAACTCATTTTACTAAAAAATTTCGAAACGAACATGTAATAAAGAAAACCAGAATTGTAGGCTTTAATCCCCAAATAACTGACAATAATAGTGACAGTTATAAATGCAAATACCATAATACAAGGGGTGTTCTCCTTCCGTTGAGCCTAGTAAAGTATACCACAGTTTTTTTTTTTTTTTTTTTTTTTTTTTTTTTTTTTTTTTTTTTTAATTTGGTGTCATCGGCGTCGACTACCACGGCCATTAGCCTCGTGTTCTGTGTAGGCTTTGTTACTGTTTCCCAGCGCCACTTTAGGAACAGCACTGTTAATTAGAACCCAACAGTGAATGGTTGAGTGGGGAATCCTACCTATGCATTAGAATTAATATTTAATTTTTTTAATTAAATAAAAATTCCTGCCACCGGTGGGATTCGATCCTGAGACCTTCCGATCTCAGAGTCATGACTCTAACCACTGAGCCAACCCACCCCCTTATACCACAGTTTATTTACAAAAACAAAAAAAAAAACATTTATTTATAATTTTTCATAGTCTATGCATTTTTACAGCCGCGAAAACCATTCTTGAAAACATTTTCTCCAATCTTCAGGCCCCGTAGTTTGTCTATTTCATTTTTAAAGGCATTCAACTGCTTTTTCGGCCGATGTAAAACGTAGACTCCGTAAAGTCCTTAGGTCCTAGGTCTGGACTATACGGTGAATGACCCACAGACCCATTATGTCTATGTTTCGAAAATTCAAATATTTATTTGTTCTAGCAGCAATGTGAGCCCGAGCGTTATTTTGATCCCTCCTCTTGGAAATTTATCGCGAACAGTTTGGAGAACATCAGGAAAACAAACTATAGTGTACAATTTTAAATTAATAACAGTACGTCTATCCTCCAATACTACAGTGGAAACATGCCCTGTGATTGCAAAAATAGTGGTGACAATATTTTTGTTCCGACTTTTTTCACGAACAACTTTTGCTGGAGCCCACTCATTCTCAAAGACCCAAATTTATAATTGTTAGTTTTTTTTTCGGGATCATAGCAGTATTCAAATTTTTCATCATCTTCGATGATGTTGTACACCAAATCAGATGATACACATGATAAAAACGATCTAGTGCAGATTCTTCTTTTTGAGCTAAAGTCAAGTTGTGAAGAATCTACCGAGAACAAAGCTTATGAACTTTCAAATTTTTTTTTGACAAGGGGGGTAGCCATGTGTGAGTTGAGGTAATTTTAAGGTGAAGGGGGGAGAAAAAGTCCTTTATATCTCACAAGGAAAGTCAATGTTTAATTATTCAACAAAACAGTGAGTGCGACCGGTTTCGAAGTATCATCACTTCATCTTCAGGCTCGCCATACTCTCCATACTCTCCAGAGTATGGCGAGCCTGAAGATGAAGTGATGATACTTCGAAACCGGTCGCACTCAATGTTTTGTTGAATAATTAAACATTGACTTTCCTTGTGAGATATAAAGGACTTTTTCTCCCCCCTTCACCTTAAAATTTCAAATTTTTGTCCAAAATAGCGTTAACACCAAACTTTAAAGTGGCTTGAACGTTTCTGACAATAATATGCCGGTCTTCTTTAATCATGTTCCGAATAAGATGAATATTTTTTGTAACTGTCGGTTTTGACTTTGGAGTGAAGGAAAATTACTTGTCACCAAACCCTCGATTGATTTACATAAAACATTCTTTACGGTTTAAACTGTAAAAATCACAGACCGATGTTTCTTGTTTACAACCCTTATTGGCGAAAGAATTACTTTAACCTATGTAACTTACAAACAAGCTGGTATATTTGACAATTATTGCTCATCTGAAATTGAAACTTCTTTATCGTTAGGTTCACCATTTATCTCGTTGCCTTGATCTTGACTATGGGTGATACATTTTCATTGTAACCTTGACTTGGCACAATTGATAGCAATATCTCCTGGACGCTAAATGACATGTGTATACAGTAGATTTTTTTCCATTGGCTTATCTCATATGCCTATAATCAGAGTTTTCAAACAAATGTACTTCTTCAACTAAAGTTTCATATCTGCTCTGCCTTACATATATATTTTTTAGAAAAATTGCTCTAGGGCTACTTAACCAACTAGGTATTAAAGAGTTATTCAAAGATCGTTGAGGATGACTAAATAAATGTTCACGAGAACAATAATTTATACCGGTTTAATGAATCTAATATTACTTACTTGATGCTATTGAGTAATGTTCAAACAAATCTCTAGATTTTAAGACTACCTGAATAGATACTTTTCCAAATTAATTAATATTAGGCTGAATAAGTTCTGTTGCAGCTTATTTTTTCTATGGTTTAGTAGTTTAAAATTAGCTGTCCATTGACCTGATAAAGCGATGAAACAGTTTGCTTATATTTATATCGCTTCTTCAGAAATATGAAACAAGCTAAAGAAATGATAATTTGGTTTTGTTATATAATAGATCCCAGGATGACATAAGGAGTTATGTAAAGAATATGGAGATTTTTCTGAAGTGGAAGGCAAAATGCCTGCAGGTGCACTCGAAAGAACAACTGCTATTATTGTTCCGGGTCTATACAAGATGTCATATTTGTAACATATCAGCTTTAATCGCCAATGCATATTTTTTTTATTTTAGAGCTAGATTTAATATCAAAAAATGACAAGTCGAAAATATCGTTATCAGATTCAACTTAAGCAGTTTTTAGGAAGTTTCAAAAGTTATACCAGTGGGTCCAGCGATGATCAGAATTATTGGAGGTTTCAAGAGTTTACCCATATATATATATAGAGCTCATTGAATTATAATAAAGGAAACAGAATTGTGAATTTTAATAAGCTCAAAATACAACCATACAACTGACAATAATAATGACAGTTATAAATGAAAATACTTCGAGCATATATTACTAGATATCTCCCTTATCTCTGTTACTAGAGCCATCGTCCAAATGGACTTTGTTTTGGTACAGGAGGGAAAATAGTGTCCAGCATTCCCATTGGTCTGTTTCGTTTTGCATGGCATGTCAAATCGTTCGAAATTATCAGAAGTCATTTTATTTTTGATTTTCATTAATTTCTAGCTTATTTTTGTAGTTTATAAGTGATTTTTTGTATTTTATAACATTACTGATACACATTTTAACAATGGTGAGAGTTCGTGTAAGTTGTAAATAGAAATAAGAAAAATCGTCAAGGGCATTTCACAAGTAAGTAACCATTAGCGTCTTTACATTTTTTTAAAAGAAACAGTACCTACATTTTATGCAAAAGGCCGTTAAACATGAATTTAAAATAAATGTAAATTTAATAAATTAAATTTAAAGAACTTGTAATATGTATGAGGAATATTGTTTTTGATTTTGGATTCTACCAAAATGTTAAAAAAAATAATCATAATTTTTCAATACAAACAAGCTTTTTGTTTTTAAGTCATTTTATCATGATAATGTTGAAGATGTTAAATCAATAATTTTTGCTTTTTGTAGGTTTCCAGCTAATCCAGCCGAAAAAACGCATTTGGTGAAACATATTAAAACTTACTCCAGAAAACATTTAAAATAGTGATGTTTTATGTTCCAATCATTTTTCTTGATATACAGGGTGGGCCATTAGTGCGTGGGTGGAAGATTGCGGGTTTATTAAGTAACATTTTTAAAATTCATTTTTGGGGCATGGTGTAGGACCTCTAAGGTTACAACCTAAAAATATTTTCGATGAAATTTCAATTGTTCTACAGGGTGATTTATATCAAAGTTATCTTTTTTTAATGAGAACCCCCTGTATATTATTGCATATTTGGATTCCTCGGTCAATTTTAATGTGACTTTATGCATCACACATGGTATCTAAAATGAGTCGTTAAGCAGCAATTCGTTATTTTTTCAAAAAGTAGATGTCTAGTAAAAATTGAATATCGTAGTTATTATACAACTTAGAAGGCCCTGACTCTACAGTGTTACTAAGCATAAAATGTACTAATATTTGCCAGACGATCAAAGTCAAACCCTTTTCGTGTTTAAAGTAATCGCTACGCCAATTTGCAAAATTTCAATCCAAGGTAACTTGATTATTTTAAATGGGACTACCAATTTTTTTTCATTTTATTACATGCAGAATTCAATTACCTTTCTAATGATAAAAAATAGGTTGATATTTATCTTTTACAGATTTCTTTTTATTTAAAAAATTCTATTAATTCACAGAATTTTTCAATTTTCTAATCTTTTTGAAATTATTAGCCCGTTAAAAATTACAAATAGTAATTTCAATTAAAAAATATTTAATAAGTTAAAAAAAAAACGAAAAAAAAAAAAAATAACCCCCACAATCAAAATAAAAAAAGCAATTATTTTAATAAATGTTCAATAAAATGTCTACCACCCTGTTCTAAACAAACTTGGATTCTTCGACGAAAATAAATTTTAACCCTATCCAATATTTCTGGGTTAATTTCTTCAAAAGCGTTTCTAATCCTGTTTTTCATGTTTTTAGATGTGGTTGGTTGTTCCGCATAAACTTTTTTTTGATATTACCCCATAAAAAAGTCCATTGGAGTAATATCTGGAGATCTAGCTGGCCATCACAATGGTCCATCCCTTGCAATCCACCTTCCATTAAATGTATTGTTGAGCCATGCGCTTACAACACGGGCACGATGTGGAGGTGCTCCATCTTGTTGAAAGTACATATCTCTAATTTGAGCAAGTGGTTATTTAAAAAATTTAAATAAGTTTCTGAATTTAAAAGACCATCAAAAAAGAAAGGACCAATAACATCAGCGTCTATTATGCCTGCCCAAACATTAACCGACCATTTCTCCTGACTATTGCCTCTGAAATAGTGAGAGGTTTTCATCTGAATTATAATGAAAATTGTGCCGATTAATATAATCATTCCGGTGAAAGGTACACTCATCTGTGAACAATTTTTTTTTTAATATTCATTTTCATTTAATTTTTCTTCTGCCCAATTGCAAAAATTTATCCGGTGTTGATAATCTGTTTCTTTGAATATGATAAGGATGGAATTTATTTTTATTATTCTTCTGATAGAGGTTCGGCTTATTTGAAAATCTCTTTCAAGTTGGCGAGTACTAGTATGAGGGTTATCTACCACTGCAGTTAAAATATTAGTTTCATTTTCTTCATTTACAACAAATTTAGTTCTTTCTTATTTTTGGATATAAGAAACATTTCCTGTTGCAATAAATCTGTACAAGAGATTTCTAAATGATTCTTCTCTTGGATGACGTTCTCGTTCAGGTTATCTTTCTATATAAACACGACTTACTAAAAAACGGATTTCTAGAGCATTCTCCGAGAATGAAAATCATATCAATTAATTCATTTTGGGAAATATGTGCCATTATTATCACTTAAATTTAGAATGACTTGAGCAAAACTAGAAAGAGTTTTATTAACTAATTTCTAATGTCACAAAAAGTGACAGATTTACTTTATTGTCACAGCCTACTAATTAAAAGGTTTTAAAAATTGAAAAATACTGTGAATTATTAATTTTTTTAAATAAAAAGAAATCTGTGAAAGATAAATATCAACATATTTTTAGATCATTAGAAAGGTAATTGAATTCTGCATGTAATGAAATAAAATTTGGTAATCCCATTTAAAATAATCAAGGTACCTTGGATTGAAATTTTGCAAATTGGCGTAGCGATTACTTTAAACATGAAAAGGGTTTGACTTTGATCGTCTGGCAAATGTTAGTACATTTCATGCTTAGTAACACTGTAGAGTCACGGCCTTCTAAGTTTTATAATAACTGCTATATTCAATTTTTACTAGACATCTTCTTTTTGAATAAAGAGTTGCTGCTTAACGACTCATTTTAGATACCATGTGTGATACATAAGTCACACTAAAATTGACAGAGATATCCAAATAAGCAATGTTATACAGGGAGTTCCCATTAAAAAAACATAACTTTGATATAAATCACCCTGTAGAACAATTGGAATTTCATCGAAAATATTTTTAGGTTGTAGCCTTAGAGGTCCTACATCATGCCCCAAAAATGAATTTTAAAATGTACCTTAATAAACCCGCAATCTTCCACCAACGCACTAATGGCCCACCTTGTATATTTATGTCAAAGACTGGATGCGGAGGAAGAACTAGATTAATTCCAGGTGCATTGCCATCAGCATTTACTGAGGCCCCAGAAGAAAATGAATCTAAAAGGTAAAGAAACATGCACTTTTCTTGTGGGTTAATCGTACAAAATTTTTAATTTTTCAGTGATGATTTGAACCATGAAGCCTCTGTTGCAGAAAAAGAAAATGTAGAATTAGAAAACATAACTAAGTACTTTTTAATGCAACATATTTTATTTTAAAATAATTACCTATTACTACCTATATTTTATATAAACCACAAAAATTGACAATAATTATTTTTTATTAAATGTACTTATGTTCTTTAATTAAGTAGACTACTAGTCGTTAAGAAATAAGCAAAACCTAATGTGAGTTTTTCAATAAAAAAGTCATTTAAGCTTCTTTTATTTGCATTCCTAATCATTAAGAAATAATCGAAGCTTAAGATAGTTTTCCAATAAATATGAAGCTTCACTTATTTGTTAACGACTAGCAGTGCAAATGTACCTAAGTATTAGCTTGATTTCTATTTGTAGTATATCGTTTAGTAATATATTGAGCACATTGGTTCCGAACAATATTTTTGTATTTAATAAATTATTGGAAAAAAATCTTGTATTGTAATTCTCGTACACGTGTGTTAAGAAATATCATAAATATTTGTATAATAGACCTACTATTTATTTATATTTTTGATTTTTAAATAAAAGCTTTTTATCTTCTTTATTGCCTATTATTTCAACCTTCATTTTTCAGTTATACACTTTCTGATGTTTGAATTTAAAAAATCAGATGTTTTCAATACAAATAATAATAATAATAATTATTATTATTTACTTTTACTAGATAGGTACCTACTTAAATAATGCAAGTTTATAAAATATGTGCATAATTTAAAGAATTTTGAAGGTATGTATCAAATTTATTATTTATATTAATTGCAAACCCCGTAAAAATGATGCGACATTGGTTATAGTGTCCAGGCCTTTCCCCTCATAATGTAAACAAACCCTATTGAATGCGGACTCTATGAAATATATATGCTCGAAGTGAAAATAACATACAGTGTCGTAGAGGAAAGTACTTAGGGGTGGATAACACTTGGACAAATACAATCAGTGGGACGATCGGCTTATTTTGTAGGGTTTAAATCTTTCTTTTGAGAATAATCTATTTTGTTCTATTTCAACAGCCATTTATTTATCAACAATAACTTGTTTTCAATTTTAATTTATATTACCTAAAACGCTTCTCTACAATAGGTTTAAAATATCTGCTGGTCCGTTGAAATGCTTGGCAATTGAACTTATTACTATTTACGGCGTCTAAATTTCTGCCTAATGTAGCATTAACCTTAGAAATATTTTTGCTTTGTTGTTTTGCAATCCGCACTATATTTAAGAATAAAGAAGGATGCAATACTAATTCACGTACTTATTTATAATCCATTTTATTAAAATACATGAAAGCAATAAGCAAAATACAAAATACAATGTACTTAATTTAAGAATATTTTGCACATTCAAATATATATTACGAAAATATAGTGGGTGTTTTACACCTAATGTTGAACATAATTTTATATATAAAAATATTAAATACATATATTTAGAAATGTAAGTAAAGTCCAATTACAATTAGAAGAACACCCTACGTCATAACTATTATTTCGAATTTCCAATAATATATATCTTCTGTAACTACCAATAAATAAAGAATATATAAGTTTTTTTGGTTTAGAAATAACATTCCTACATTCCTATAATATTAACAAGCCACTAAACCCCCAGTAGGCGGCGATAGCCAACGAATTACTTTGCCAATTGATGACGTACATGTGTTCATCTAATTGTAATTGGACCCTAAACTTGAGTTATCACAATGCTTCTCACCGATAACATGAAAGTACAATCACAAAAAAGCATAATAAAAATAAAAAAATTCATAAAGTAAATCATTTTTATAGCTACATAACAAACAAAAGTATATTTAAAAATAGAAATATTGTTCTTTTCATTTTTAATATTGTGAATTAACATATATTTTAAAATTATTTAAATCTAAACTTAAAGTACACAATTTAAGTAATAATAACAGTGGGCTTTAAAAGAACAATTTAAAACTTTTACCATGATAAAAACTAAATAAATGCAAACTAAAATAAGTATAATATAAGGCATTCTATCCATAACTCAATATTTTTTGATAATTTCTTTAAAATTACCTACTAAAAATTGCATCATGAGGTAGTAGGTAGTAAAGTCCGTTTCATTAAAGAAAAGTACAGAGGCGTCCTAGAAGACAACATGCGTAGAAACAAAATTTTATAAAATTCAAAATTACCACCATTCATCATCATATACCTGTGACAATCGAGGTAACAATTTATTTCCATTTATTTTAAAAATACTATTTCACTGTTTCTGATTATGATGATGATAATTATAATCTAATCACTTGAACATGAAATTCTGGGATAGTATATCTAAAGGTATTGCGACATGACATAGTCCAGTAAATAGAGTAAAGGATTACTATGAGGCTAGGGGGAAATATTAGTCGGTTTAAGTTGGATGTTCGTTTGCCGAAAATTACAATTAAAGTTTATCCTGTAATAATTATATTACTTGAGGCTAATAACCGTAGCAGTTGATGCCGATGACACAAAAAAAAATTATATTACTTGTATATATTGTAAACAGCAGTTCTACCAACAAATAATTAAACAGTCATGGGAACATTTGCCGATGGCACAATTATACTTGCAAGCCATGAAAATCCAATTACAACGGCTGCAATGTTACAAAGGCACTTGCATAATATCCAAACATAATTACTAAAATGGAGTATAAAGATAAATAAGGTAAAATAAGTAACTGTCTCACTGAGCAATAAATGATCGCCATCAGTTTTTCTAAACAATATTCATAATGCGTGGATTCTAAAAAAGTCAATTCAAAATACTCTGTTTGATAACAGTTTGATACGTGTCCAACGAAATCTTCCATGAAAACTTAAAATTTTATATATTTAGGATGAAAAAATCTCAGGTCACCAATCATCATAACATATTGAAAAATCACGTGTTTACTCACCTCCAATCATACTGCACACATTATTTCAGAAGTGTTTCAAACATATAACATTTGAAGCACAAGTTTCTGAAATATAACTTTGTTAAATATTTCACTGAAAATGTTTTTGAAACATGGTATAAATGTTATACAAAAGCTTACTAAACGGATTGTTGCAAAACGCCAACACTCAATGAAGAATGTCTGATTTTTAAGAAGAAGATGTGTTATGTAGTTATTTTATTTCATCCTATGTCTAGCCAGAGACAACCCTATATTTTAATAATTACAAGTTTGCGTTGTCGGTTTTTGCAATTTGCTTCTTCTTTGTTATTTATGCATTGTGCTGTTATATGAGGAGCAAAATATGTCTTTAAAAATTGAGGTGAGTTTACTACAGAAATAATGCTTGTAGGGCGTATTTTATATCGAACGAGAGTTCGATCACCATGGAAACCGCCTTTACATACTTCACAATTTTATTATATTAGTAGGCTGGACGACTACTATTTCGGATTAAAATCGCATCCAAGATGGAAGGCTATGTCGCAATTACGTTAGATATATCAGCCCATCAGGATTTCGATGCATCGTCAGATATAAGAATTGAAAGTCCCTAACCCAAAATTTTTAAATAGTTACGCCCACATATACTAGAGCGATAGGATTCTCCCTAAAGTCGCGCTGGGAACTAGTACTAAAGCCTACACTGACCACACAAGGCCTAATAGCTCTGACAGATGAGTCTTCAAAAAATACTTCTATTATTAGAAGTATATGGTTATGCCAATGTTTTAAATTCCCGCCATTATATTTACAATATGACACAGACAGTTTTGCCCATATTTCGGTGACGCCTCTGTACTTTTTACTATTGAAACCTCCGGAGTCATGAGATGTCGTTTTAAATATTAAAACTTCCGTCAAAATTACAGTATAAGAGGTAAATAATTGCTACTTTTGTAAAGGTTTATAAAAATTGCAAAAACTTTTAATACGTTCAAAAATATCTTAAGGAAGACCTTATATTGTACATACTCATTATAAGTAATGTGATAGAAAATACATAGGCAACCATTTTGATTATAGATTAGTTAACTTAAAAAAAACAAAATAATTTGAAGTTCATGATGTCATTCAGAATTCAAACGGATCACTGTCAAAGTTTATCGGCCCCATAATTTTTCGTGTGACTACTATACACGAATAATTTTCTATTAAGTATAAAAATGGCACTTTATTTAAAAAAGGTTTTTATAAAAAATTGCACTTTGTATAATTGAGTTATATATTCTTTGCGAAAAAGACTCAATATAAAATATATTGTTATATATACTTTTTTTATTTAATCAACATGTGATGTTGCTCTAGCAAAAATGGACTTTTTATATTATTTATTGTCTGCTGATAGCAAAATTTTCTGTTATCTGCTTAAATTCGCGTCAAAAGTATTTTGAAATTATAATCTACTTATTATACGTAATTAAATGAATTAAACGTATTATTCGATGAAGTTTTTTAGGGACATGAATTTAAGCAACATAACAAGATAAACAAAATTATTAACACAAGTAGACAAGGAAAGATATTATAACTTTCGTTTCTAATAGATTTTTCTGAACAGTCCGATAACTATATAGTAAGTCTTTTTTGTTCTTTGTTTTTCTTACTTTGGCGGGGCAGATGGCGCGGTTGGATCAGATCCTGTTCCTTTAACGAAATCCTGATAACTAGGTGGCGGTGGTTCATCGTTGCCTTCATCTGAAATAAATGCATTTTCAAATTAATTTATTTTTACCACATAGGAGTTTTCAATATTTTATGCCCATATTCCTCAACATATCTATCCAGGTGGAATTATTTTCGTGATAGGTTTTGACGTACAACTTCTCAACTCTAATATTTCATACCATTCATTGGATAATTAATGTTCTTTTCCTGCAACCTTTGTACCATGTTCTTTTGTCCAACTATAACATGGAACTGGTTCCACGTATCGCGAATAATAACTGGCATTATTGATTGTAATCAAAGAAGGATGTACCACACTAGGTATAAATTTTTAAAAATTTTCTATGTTCATATTATTATGGTAATTCCCGCTTTTTGTTTAACTTTTAAATATTATTAAAATAATTTCATGTTTCCATTTGTTCTGAAAGTAGAAGGCCAGTAGGACTAAGTTATTATTGCAAGCCACCCACTATGCATAAAAACTTTAAATTAATGAGAACTTTACATCACACTGTTACATTGTAAATCTCATTTTTACTCTTGTTTTTATTTATAAGATGGACTCATAACCGTCAAAGCCAAGAGTATGGACATTTACTTTTGTGATGAAACAATGTAGTGGTTGCGGTGATATTATAGCGCTACTTTGTTACGTTATTCAACGTTACTGAAAATTCCCAAAAATGATGTCTTTTTAACAAACCAAATTTGACATTCCTGTTATATCCAAGAAAGTCTTTTTACTTCTTGTAGATGTTATTATAAAGCCCATAAAATAATAGTACATTATATACCTAGGGTGAGAAGTGAGCTATTATTTACCGAGCACTTTTATATCCTGAGGCGCGTAGCGCCGAGGGATATAATGTGCGAGGTAAATAATAGCTTTCTCAGCCGAGGTATATATAGAATTTTTTTTACTACTAACATTAATGTATTAACAATTTTAATTTTGACATAAGTAATTTCCTAACAATTTGTTAAATATTTCGAAATATCAAGCAGTCTGGAGCGTGTTTCTAATCAGACTGGCTTTATTTATGTAAAAATTTGGCATGTGTCAAATTTTGGTATGATTCTAGGAAATATCCCATTGCATTTTTGATATTTTAATGACATGGATTTATTGTTATTAATTAATAATTTTTAAAGCCGGTGTTGAATTTCCTAGTTAATATATATTTTTACTGTTTACACTGATATATATTATCATATTTGATTTGATTAGATTTGATAAACCCAGCTTTAGTTATTTCCTACTTATTTTTCAAATATTTCAAAATATCAAGTAGTCTGGGAGTTTAGTTGTCAAATTAACAAAATGAAACTAATGAAATTTAGTTTCATTATTTACCTAGGTTTTTTTTTATTATCATTATTTACCTAGGGAGAGAAATATTACTTCTCATTAGAGGAATGGAGTAAATAATGGTGATTTCTCATGTTAGTAGTAAAAAAAATTATATTAATGAATTGAATGTGACGTTCATACCTTTTTATTTTTATCTAAATAAATTTATATGGACTATAAATATTTTATATATTTCATCTATATAAAACAGAATATAAATAAATAAACTTGAAGTTAAACTTCTATTCTAATCCACAGAAAAAGTAAGATAATACAATGGTCTAAAGCAATATCAAAGGTAAAAAAAAAACTTTTTTTACCTTTTTTGATGAAATACTTAACACTGAGCATCAGCCTCCTCCATAATACAGTACTATCGATTATAAGTAGCAAGCAATCATTTTTGTAAATATTATAATAAGTGTAAATTAATTATAAAGGTTTCTTAACGCCGTAAAGTTAAAATGGTCCTTCGAGGTAATATAGTTTTAAAAGTTTAATCCGGTGTGTTTCATTCCAATAAATATTGTTTCTCACAAAACGAGCCAGTCAATAAACAACGACTATGGAAGATACAGGGTGATTTGGTCGTGGATTGGTAGTTTCGAATTTCAAGAATCCACAACCCTTCAAAATGTTTAATATCTGGTGTTAGCTTTAAAGACATGGACAATTTCTTTTGTGCGGGGTGTGCATTCGACATTCGATAAACAACACAAAACTCAGGTCAAGAAATCCGAACGTGTAAAATATAGACTTGGCGAAAAAATATACAGCGACGTGTGTGGGCCAATGTTCCTTCTGTGCAAGGTTTTAAATACTTTTAACTAATTAAAGATGACTTTTCGGGTTTTCGTGTATGCTATTTTATTAAAAACAAAAGTGACGTTTTTGACAGCTTTAAAAAGTTTTCAAGCACAATTAAAAACAAGTTCGAGTCACAAATTAAGTTTCTTCATGTAGACAAAGCTTTATGGACAAAGAAGGAATTGAATTAGAGACAACAGTTCCATATACTCCACAACAAAATGCTAGAGTTGAGAGAGACAATCGTACCGTTATGGAATGTGCTCGGTCTATGATGTATGATGAGCAAATGTGCCGAATTATCTGTGGACAGAGGCAGTAAATACTGATATCTATTTATTGAATAGAACACCCACAACTCAAGCACCATGTTCTACCCCTTATAGTTTGTGTTTTTTTTCTCCTGGGCTCGTCTGACTATGTCTCCGAATAACACTGAAGCCTATTGGCTTATTGTGTTTTACCCCATGTTAGTTCATAGCATCCATTCTGTCACCTTTGTACCTTGTACAAGTTTGTACAGATCCTTGGGTGAGTGGGTTCTATACGTTGTTGGATCAACCTGGGGTTGTCCAAAAAGAGTCTGTCTTTTGCGATCTAGAGCTTCGCATTCGCACAGTATGTGTTTGGCCGTTTCTGGTTTCTTGTGACATAGTCGGCACATGAGTTCCCCATTGTATATGCCAATTTTGTTCAAGTGTCCCTTTACTGGGGCGTGCCCAGTCATGAACCCTGTTATCAATTTCAACTGGTTCTTATTTATAAAGAGTAGTTCTCAAGTTCATTTGGGACATGACCTGCCTATGAAGGCTTTTCCATGTGCCTGTTTTGGGGTACTTCCCCAATAGTTGAAATGTTCCCGAATCCAGTCGTTTATGAAACCCCAGAGTGTACTTTTTGGTACTCCTGGGTTTATGTCTGTTTCCGGTGTTTCTACTGACCTTTTTTTTGCAAGTTCGTCAGCCTTTTCATTGCCTTCGATCCCTTGGTGACCTGGCACCCAAAATAGTTTTACTCTATTTCGGTCTGCCAGTGTTCTTAGTTCTTCAATGCATTCCCATACCAGCCTCGACGTAACTTTCTGACTCGATATGGCCTTAAGTGCCGCTTGGCTGTCTGACATTATTTGAATATGTTTATTTTCGACAGTTTTTTCATTGTTCGTTTTTGCACATGGCAAAATTGCGTATACCTCGGCCTGAAATACCGAGGAATGTATTCCTATAGCATGGCTATGGTAAGTATCAGGGTTTTTGGAGAATATTCCCGCCCCAGTGCCTTCCGCAGTCTTCGACCCGTCTGTATACCAGGTTTGTTCCTGTCATTGGGCATTGGGCTCCCTTATGGTGCTCTCCGGTCTTTCCTGTATTAAAACCTCAAATGGAGTACTAAAAGAGTACCTCTTGGTTATGTGTTCTGATCTCATGTCTAGCACGTCTCCTGTCACTAACCTTGAGATACTCATGTGACCTGGCCTAATGTCAAGATTTCCCAGTGTATTCCCTAATCTGTAAGCACCTAATCTTGCCTCCCCTTGTATCACATAGTGAAGAGGTGGGAATCCTATTAGTGCTTCCATTGCAGCAGTGAGGGTTGTTTTCATTGCCCCCGTTATTCCGAGGCAGGCAAGTCTTTGTACCTTGCTTAGCCTCGTTATTGCTTTCCTTTGCTGTGCACTCGTACCTAATCAAAATAGAAACAAGTTGGATGTAAAAAGCAAGAAACTAATATTAGTAGGATATGAAAATAATTCAGAAAATTACAGGCTTTTTGATATGGAAACTAAGAATATAGTGATATCCCGAAATGTGATTTTTAATGAAAATAATCTGAACATTGAAGAAGGTAAATATACCTAAAAACTGTCAGGACATAATAGGGGATATAACCAATACAGAAAAAGAACCAGAGGGAGACCCTGCAAGTCAAAGTCCACGAGTGTCAGAAGAAGACATGCCTAGACGTTAAATTCAACTGCCACGCAGATTCGATAATTATAAAATAAACTTTCTTGAAACCGATATTCCAGACACATACGAAGAAGCCTTGAATGGTGGTATTCCAAAGGAATTGCAGAAAGCTATTCAGAGTGAATTATAAGCTCTGAAGAAAAATGAAACGTGGGAATTGACTACACTACCAAAAGGTAAAAAGGTAATAAATTATGTGGTTTTTTAAATTGAAAAGATACCCAGACGGTTCTATTCAAAAATACAGAGCAAGGTTATGTGCTAAAGATTGTGCACAAAAGGCAGGGGTAGATTATGATGAAATATTTTCACCACAACCAGGTATGACTCTATAAAAGTGTTGCAACTGCAACCAAAAACAGTTTCAAAATAATACAGTTTGACATTGAAACGGCATTTTTGAATGGTGATCTACATGAAGACGTTTTTGTCCAAGTTCCTAGTGGTGTTAAAATAGACAAAGCACAAAATATGATCTGTAAATTAAGAAAACGTTTATATGGTCTGAACCAAGTTCCACGATGCTGAAATCATAAGTTTAATGAATTTCACATCAATTACGGATTTTGTGCTAGTACAGCAGACTCATGTGTATACAAAGAAATTTTTGACAATGAAACCATTTTATTAGTGATCTATGTTTATGATGGAGTAATATTGGCTCAACTTTCGTTTAGCCGAAATCTGTTATGCAAAAACCGTTGTCATGATAACAATTGCGATGGCTATAAGTAAACAAAAACCCTATTCTTATGGGGAGGAAATTCGTAGTTGCCAAGTTGTAGATGATTGCGGTTTTTGTTTAATTTCATTTAGCTGAAATCACTTATGCAAAAAATGTTGTCCGCTTGCCATGTTACCGACTAAACAAAAACCCAAATCTCGTGGTGGGAAAATACATAGTTGCCAAGTTATATATCATTTAATGTTCACTTTAGGAGAAACTGTTGCCATGGAAACGCTTGTCATGCTAACGACTAAACAAATCCCTTAGTGAGAAAATGCTTAGTTGCCAAGTCATAGATGGTTTCATTTTCACTTTAGTTTAGATTAGGATATACGTTAAGAGTTAAAATAAATATGAGAGGCAACTGCGCATTTCTTCACCACCGGATTTAGGTTTTTGTTTAGTCGATATCACGACAAGTGTTCTTTTGGCAACGAATTCTCCGTAACCGATTTCAGCTAAACTCAAGTGAAAATTAAATGATCTGTAACTTGCCAACTATGCATTTCCTTACCACGGCATTTGGTTTTTGGTTTGGTCGTTACTATGAGAAGTGTCTATGGTATCAGTTTCTCAATAACTGATTACAGCTAAATTAAATCATCTGTAACTTGGCAACCACGCATTTCCTAACCACGAGATTTGAGTTTTTGTTTACTGGTTTAGGGAGCGTTCAAGTATTACGTAACGAATTTGGGGGGAGGGGGGTTTTTGTAAAACGTTACGATGCGTTACAGGAGCGTTTGAACTATGCGTTACGCAACATTATTATTTTTTAACCCTTCAGAAAAGTCGCGTAGAGAGTTTCTCTCACGCATTTTTTAAAACGTTTCTTTTTCTCAAAATTTCAAGTCACCATTTGACCTTTTTTTACCTTCACAAAAACGTTACGGCGCGTTACATGGGGGGGGGAGGGCGAGTTAAAAATCTCCAAAAATTGCGTTACGTAATACTTGAACGCTCCCTTACCATGGCAATGGATGCCATGGCAACAATTTTTACGTAACTGATTTCGACTAGACGAAATTTGACCCATAATATTTTGTAAAAATATGTGTGTTACTCAAAATATTCAAACAGAATTAGAAAGGGTATTTGAGATTACAGTTGGTGAACCAAACTTTGTAGGACTCGAAATACTACAAAACAACGGCATTTTTATTATGTTAAACAAATTATTAAAAAGTTTGGACTAGAAAATGCAACCTTGACCATGGAGTTTAGTGATTCATTAGTAGGGCGAGTGCCATATCGAGAAGCTGTAGGCAGTCTTCTATTTGCTGCCACAGTAACAAGGCCAGAAATAATATTTCCTGTATTAGTAGTAAGTATCTTAATAGTCATGGTCAAATTCATTGAATGATGTAAAGCGAATAATAAAATATTTACTTGGAGCTATAGATTATGGTATTTATTAATTGGGTATTCTGATGCAGATTTTGCGGCTGATATAAAGACAAAACGTTCTACTACTGGATATATTTTAAATTTAGTGGTGGGACCACTAAAATAGAATAGCCGGAGGCAACACAGTCATTATGTACAACTGAGGCAGAATACGTAGCAGCGTATCATGCTACTAAGTAGGTAATGTGGCTAAAACTACTCTTTGAAGACATCGATAAGTACTTTGAGAAGCCAATTACTATTTGTATAGATAATCAAAGTGCAATATGTTTAATTCTTAATCCCGAATTTCATAAACGTACCAAGCACATACGTCAAATCAAAACGGACGACAAGTAGCATTTTTTACTAAGAGCACTTCCAGTTCTGAACGCAGAGACTCTGCTATCAAAAAAGAAGCATATGCTAACGTAGCTCTTCGAAAATAGACATTTTTTTAATTGGGTGATATTTTAAATTAATAACCGACCAGGAATCTCTGGTATTCATGTTTCATGAAAAACATTCACGGCAAATTAAAAATACTCGAGCTGAATACTTGAAAACAAGGGCTTAATGATGAATTAATGGATTATTCTACTAGTTTTTCGTCGAATACTGAATATGCTAAAATCGCAATTTTAAATAGGTATTCTAGGGTACAGAGCAACAACTCATATGTCAGAGTTTCTGTGCAGAATAAAAACATATAAACTCGTAAAATATTTAGAATACATTTTTTTAATCCAAGGATAATAAAAACCGGCCAAGTGCGAAACGGACTCACGCATAAAAGATTCCGCATCATCGTACAAGATGTAGGTACTTTTTAAATACTTTATTAGGTTTTAGCAAAAAAAGCCAAAAAACACGTTTCTAGTATGGGGGCCTCTTTAATTTTTAATTAATTTTTATTTTTATTATTTTTTGTTATAGCGACAACAGAAATACACATTCTGTCTATTACAGATCATGAGATACAGCTCGCTGACAGACAAATGAACGGACAGCGGAGGCTTAATAATAGGGTCCCGTTGGTTACCCTTCGGGTACGGAATCCTAAAAATGATAACCTTAAGCTTAAGTTTTTCTTTTCAGAGATTTTTGTTAAACTAAAAATAACATTACAGGATAATAATAATAATAGTTTTCATTAAAATAAAAAAATCTTTTCTAACTCACCATCGACAATTTCAAAGCCCTCCTGCTCAGCCATTTTTGCCTTTGATGGAGCTGAAGGAGCTCCATCTTCCTGTGGAGCGCTAGCAGCACTAGATGAGGGTCCTCCTTGGCCAACAGAGGGCATGGGCATTCCTTTACCAGGAAGAAGTGGGATTGTTGCGCCGTCAACGAAACCCGCTTCGTTGCCATTTGGTAGAGGGAACGATGGAGGACCCATAGGGTAAGGTGGGGCTTTATCTTCTAACGGATATGGTGGTGCTTTCTCTTCTGGTGGATATGGCGGTGGACTAACGTTTGAAGGTGGAGGTGGAGGTGGAAATGCTCCTAAAATTAAAATAATACTTTAAGAATCAAAATACGGAATTTTGGAACAATAATGAGTTTGTTTGGGTTTCTTTAATTTAACGCAAACTTTTAAACAGTCCACGTGTCAACTAGTTCTAAGACAGTTCTCAACGTATTTTTAAAGAACCCAAACAAGTCTAATATGATAGATTGAAACATTTCTAGAACAAGGACAACTTTTTGGGAAAAGTTGTATTCACTTTTCTACATAGTGTCCTTTCAGTTCAACGCTTTTCAAGATCTTTCAACCTCGAAATTACAGCTTCGATGTTTCCTGTATTCGATAGGAATTTATTCCAGTCAACAATTTGAAATTTGGAAACAGAAAGAAAAATGACGTAGCTATGTCTATAAAACATGTTTACTTAACTGGAATCGTAATTCGTGCAGTTTCGCCATCGCATTAGACGATGGTACAAGATTTTTTCTTTCTGAAATGAAACCTTGCAGCTTTGATTTCTTCTTTCAATCTGTCTAATAATGAAGTATAATAATCACCTGTTATTTTTTGTGTTGCAAGTAATCATTTCAAATTATTACTCCGGAATCCCAAAAGATGATAGTCATCACTTTTTCAGCAGTCTTGGCCTTCTCTGAAGTTGACTCATCACGTTTGGTTCACTACTTTGACTGCTCTTTGGTCTCTGGAGTGTAGTGATTATCCACGTTTCATGTACATTTATAAAATCATTTTCCTTTGTGTCCGAACATGTCAAGATATTACTGAGAAATGGTCTAAAACTCGATTTTGGTCGATTATCAAGCGACGCAGCACCCATCTAGCATTAAGCTTTCTCATGTCCAAATGTTGGTCTGTGGTAAAAGTAAGATGTTTTACTTTTCGACAGCGCGAAATTCGATAGCGACGGGCAATGAACTCTGGTGACGTCGATTACGAGTTTGGGAACAATATTTTTTTTATCATACGACACTTCAGCATGGCAAAACGTTCGAAGCAGTAAAGTTGTTAAAATGACCGCTACTACTGCGATCTGCCATGCCGTTTAGAAAACGTTTCATATTTCTTGTCGGCATGTCGTGGCTATATACCGCGATGTCGCAATATGGCCGCCGCAATATCGGGTAAACTGGTGACTGGAAATACGGCCACGGGGTGCAATGTTGAAATGTACACGGAATGCACGTTGGTGGCGATGATTGAGCGACCGTTACCAAAATAAGATTTTACAGTGAACGTGCGTTGGATCTTCGTCCACTGCATGCATCCAGTGGGATACAACTGTACGAACCACTCTTTCGAATGTGCATACACCCACCCTCCTCCTCCTCCTTCGTCGCTGCAGGGCGTCAAATTCAAATAAGCAAGTTGGTCTACACCACCCTGTATTACCGACAATTCGTGAAATATTTTGACCGAATTGCTTAACCTCTTCATCGACTAACTGAAAACAGTAGTCTATTTTACTGGACGCCGAATTGCCAAAATGGCTTCACCGAGTTGCAAAAGCGATTGTCCACGCTAGCCTACCCTCAGAAAAAACAAAATTCATTTTGGACTGTGACGTATCCCAACACCGCGTAAGCACCGTGATATCAAAAGAACAGAAGGGGGTAGAGAAAGTAGTTGGATATTTTAGTAAAACCTCGGGGAAAGCTGAGAATAATTATCACCTCACTAGGAAAGAACTTTTAGTTATTGTCAAAGCCCTTGAACACTTCCATACTTACCTTTTTAACAGAATAACCATAGCGCCTTACAGTGGCTGATGTATTTTAAAAAAGCTAAAGGACAGGTTTCTAGAAATACTGCAACAATATAGCTTCAAGATGGTGCATCGAAGAGGTCGTCTCCATAACAACGCTGACCAGGCGACCCTATTAAGAACAACAATGCCAGAACTATAAAAGGTTCGAAGAACGAAAGTAGCCGGTTGAAGAAGTTAGTCTTCAGGAAACCGCTATCAAGCCAGAGGGTGACGAAGACGGAATCGCCCTTGAAAGCCTGAAAAAGACTCAAAATAAAGACAATGACTTGAAGGTTGTCCGAGAAATGCGGAACTATATATATAAAAGGGTACTGGATTACCTGTAACGATGGCCTATTGCATCGGGAGAGCCCAGATGGAGTACATTATAGTCTGCTAATAGGTACTCCCGAAATCACATGTCATAAGTGTGTTGTAGGAGTTTTATAGCAGCCGCTCAGGAGGGAATTTTGGTACTAAAAGGACACTGGCACTAGTTTCTGAAATATTTTATTGGGGCGCCTTTTGAACGAATCACCACCTATATTCTCGGACCGATTCCCTTAACAGAGAGGGGAAACAAATACTTGATGGTTGTTATGGACTATTTTTCGAAGTGGCCCGAAATAGTGCCTATTCCTAATCAGGAAGCGACGACAGTAGCAAAAGCATTCATGACGAACGTCATAACGAGAGATGGAGTCACTCTAAAATTGCATTTTGACCAAGGACGAAATTGACAATAATTGATAAAACTGTTAGGCATCAGCAAAATAAGCACTACGCCTCTCTATTCACATTCCGACGGAATGGTAAGACACCATAGAACCATTTGCCAGTATCTTTCAATGTTCGTCTCTAAGAACCAAAAATACTGCTAGCCTATACCGAAACTCTAAACATGAATCGAGCAGTTATAACCCCATCTTAGATGATTACGGAAAGGGAGATGATGCTTTTCCATGAACTTCTTTTTGGAAGAAAGCCTCCTGGTGAAGAAAAGGGACGCAAACCTCCCACGTACATAATAGAAAGATGAGAAAAGGTCTACGCATTCACTAGGAACTTTTGAAAGTCCACAGCGATAAAGCGAAACTAAAATCGACATTCACGCCACAGGAAGACATATTGAGAAAGGCGACCCAGTATGGCTATATAATCCCAAGCGCAGAACTTGGTCAGAAACTGGAAAGTTCATAATGTTTTCCTTGTTTTTTGCTTATATTTAACCTATTTTAATATTTTCGAAAATTCCAATTGATAGTATAGACGTAGGCATAAATAGGGAATAAGGCTTGATTCAATAAACAATATAAAGGCATTTATCAGTAACATAGTTTCAATAATAATTGTTCTGATAAGGTTTCTTAGATTGGTTTTAGGTACGTGATTGCGTGTCGTACCTTTCCCCGTTTGGAGTATTTCTTAGATAATATGATGCCTATATGGATTATACATAATCTGTTTGAAAATCTGACAGCAGTTGAACGAACAATGGTGCATTCATTCTAAAAGCATTCCGATCTATCCCGGAGCAAGTAAACGCACATAGAGCAATCATTTTTTAACAAGTGACATCTTATTTAGTAAAAAACCGTTACCTCCAGGACATTGGCTTGCTGGAACGTATGTTGCTCCTCCAAAACTAGGTCCGCCTAGAATAGGAATATGTCCTAATTTCACACCTGTTTCAATTTCCAAATTAGTATGACAACCTGGTATTACAGCTTCTGCCTAGAAAAACAATATAAGTAACTTTTTTGTATTCCTGAAAAAGTTGCTGATTATATAATAGGAAAAAAGCAGTATAGTTCTATATGTATATGATATGGTGCAAATGAATGGAATAAAAAAATCCTGAAACCCGTCTATTTTTATTTTTAAACGCGCGCGCGCGTATTCTTTTTAATCGTGTCGTTATCCGGGTAAGCGTGGTGATCTCATCGAGTTCTTTTAATTATCGTATCGCATTAATAAGTAACAGCCGATTTTTCAATCGTACATTAAAGTCTTAATTAAGTAAGTGTTACTTAAAGTTAAATTTTAATTAAAAAATAGTGTTTTTGAAGTAAATTAAACTGATAATTAACTAATGTCAATTTTAGCATTTTTTTAAAAGGTTGGTATTGAATTTTGGTAATCTTTAGGGATAAATAGAAGTTTTTTTGACACATAAAAATTTTAAACATTTTGTAATATTATTTGTAACATATTTTAAACAAGTGAGAAATAGGAAAAAGTACCTAAGGTTATAAGGTTCAATTAAAATGTGCTATTAACATTATTTCACATATTGTAGATAACCAATTGTAGATAACCAAGAAGAGCTACAAACTTTAGAAAAGAAGAGGAACATTTGCTTGTTGCTGTGGAGGGACAGTATACAAATATTATTGAGTCCAAAAAATCTAGGGACTTTAGGTTGAATATTGTTACGAATTTCTTTTAGCACATTTTCTACAGACCTTTTTAATGATCGTTTTCCTTCTAGGTTTATTATCGCTAGAATACGTATTTATATAGTAATTTCAGTAATCCATAATCACAAAAGCATAATTTATGTTTTAAAATTCTACTGTCACTTTCCAAAAAATAGGGTTAGAAACGTATAATTAATTCGCTAACGTATACCTTTCTGTTCATTAGCCTAATTAATTCAAAGTTGTATTTAAAATTTAAGGAACATTTGAAAAATAACCTAATTTTGTCTAATTTATGATTAACTTATAATTGACATTTGATGGACGATTGAAAAACCGGCAGTAAGTCATTCAGATTCTTACAGTGTTAAACATTTTAGTTATTACAATTAATACTGATTAAATACAACCGAATTAAAAAAAATGCTCAAATTTGCGACCCTCAGCTATAATACAGTGAGACGTGCTGTGAACTCCTCCCGAACTTTTTCAATAACTTCTGGAGTTATTTGAGGCATCTCGACCCTTATGTGTTCTGTGAGTTCATCGACATTTTATGGTCTATTTTGGTATACTTTACTTTTTAAATATCCGCCTAAAAATAATTTTAGATGAGTATAATCTAGCGACATAGGTGGTCATTCGATTGATCCCCTTTGCCCAATCCACCTATCTGGAGATAAGTTGTCTAAAGGCCGATTCCACCGTTGTGTTAAACGAAGATTAAAATGACATTTTCAATAATTTAAACTTAATTTAATCGGCCCTAAGTAGTTTCTCACCCCGACCGTAAAGTGTGGGGAGCACGATCTTACTGCAGCCACAAATCATTTCCGTTTGAGTTTAAAATTATTGACATGGTTCGATAGATAATTAAAAGATCTATCAACAGATGTATCGCATAAACCACATTTCTACTTAAAAAAATAATAGATTACGTCATTACGCTCAAACAAATGACGTGACGAATAAAAGGAATATTTGAGAAATATCTCGTTTGAAAATAAAAATGGACATATTTCAAAATGTTTTTCCAGATTTACGAAAAAATGAATCTATTTATCTCCATACTTTATAAAATCTGTGTTTTACTTACTTTCAAAACACACCATTGTTTGAACAAAGTGCTTCCTTGAAAATTCGGCAATACAGTTCTAGCTGGGATTACAAAGTCAAGATTATAAACCCTTTGCCCGTGAGCTCCTACGCCCGTGTCTGACAAAAAACCCACAAGTTCTGTATCGTACTTATGGTGCGTCCTGGGACTGGTTGTCTTAGATTCAATTGTCTAAAAATCATTTGAAAAAACCAGGTTGATACTATTTATATATAATTAAAATATCTTAGTATCATTTAGAACAATTCATATAAATCTAAGCGAATAATAATCAAAAAGCGATAAATGAAGTTCAATGATGAACAAATTTTCCAAACATGTAGAATGAAATAAACAATATTGACCGGATTTTTCTGCAAAATGTAGATAACATAGACATTAGTGTTTAGTTATTGACTAACAAACTATAATATTTTTAGTGAACATAATATTATTCCTATCAAGAATAAATATATAAATATTAGTAGGAGTTGAATATAGTAAAATTAAATTTTTAACAAAATATTTCATCTAACTTATGTTAGGCAAGTTTTATTTAAATTATTTACACAATTTGTCAATTCAGGAGGAATATTATCAAATTCCATATAATAATCATCATATTCACCAATTTTTGAATTTAAGTTCAACTTAATAAACGCCACTTATTTTTTTATTTAGGCAAATTCAAACTAAATACTAATACGTCGCGTAGAACTGCAAGTCATGAAATTCATGACTATCTTCGATGCAGACATGGTATTCACAGCCATTGGCCAGTAGCTCTTACATATTGAATACATAAGAGGCAAGTGTTTCATAATGTTCTTTCAATATCAAGAGCGTGAATGTTTTCTTTCTGTTATTATAAGTAGTTTCTGAAGAACTACATTCAGTAGCTACGGTGAAGAAAACAAATTTCAGGACTGATCTTTAACATAATTCACATGAATCGACATAGATAAAAGACTTACATGAACTAGAAATCCACTCAGTCGTTAGATGCACTAAATACATTTAAAAACCTTCGTTTTAAAATTAAATCTGATAAATTTGCAACCTTGCATAAGGTCGGTAACCTTAAAAAATTAACAAAAATCAACAATTCGTATATTTTGCAGTCACCAAAAAATTTGAAAAGTATTGCAAATATGACCTTCCTATAAGTACATAAATGCAAATTTGCAACGCTCCAAAATTAATGCAAATGATTGTAAATTGTCTATGACCAATTTTGCATTGTGAAATTAATAGAAAAGTGTCTAGAGCAATAAAAAAAAATATTCATAAGCAATATGAAATTTGCACCCTTAGACTTATCAAACAAAATATTTAAATAATTTCTTGTTTTCGTTTTTCATCGAGTTTACGAAGAATATTTATATTTATCCCATATATCCCAACTCGGTATAAACTAGTACATAGAAGAGAAAACAATCAATATTGTAAATCGAGCCAATAATAAGAAATTAACCCAATATCATTGTAAATAGAGCATTTAGATAATACCTAAGGGTTTGTTTTGGGTCAAATCGAACCAACGTCGCGTCGGCAGTTTTGAAATTAATATTGAATTAACTAATGTTTTTGACAATCCTGGACCATCCAGTTGCAAGAAACCAAAGCTCTCATAATTTAAATCATGTTTTGTTTTTGTAAATTTATTTCATTAAAACAGTAATTTCATAGTACCTTAATTTGTATATTATTTCCTTTCAATTTCCTTTCATTTTCCTTTCATTTTCCTTTTCCAGTTTTGTGAAAATCAAAAAATATTTCAATTTTGTGGAACCAACTGTCTCAAAGTATCAAATAATGTATTTATTCGGTGACAAAATATCGTTTTCCATTTCCTTGTTTTATCAATAAATATTCTGTATATAATCAATACAATGATTATTTTAAAAAGTTACTGGTAGAACATTTAATGTTTTGTTATTTACTCGGCCTGAAACCTAAAATTGACAAATAAAATAATAAAACAATACTAGTAAGAAGCTTTAAGCTTTTTCCCATTATTATTTACAGAAAAATTGCCATAATTTTTATAATTTTTACAACGATAAAAATCTAATAAAAAACTGTATGCAATCAAAGAAGTTAATACGATAAATTCCAACCATTTTATTTTATGTTTGCTGAAACAATTATCATTGAAAAACGAATGAATGTTTAAAAATTATTGACATTATTTAATAAATATTTTTCCATTTTTCACATTAATTTGTATTTACAATTTAAAATTACGAAATATAAATTTTACAAATGTCCTTCATGTTTAATATATTAATTTTGTGAATTAGGTTTACATATTTATGTTCTGATCCGACTTTTTTTTAATATCAGGAACAAAAATATATACATAGTTCTGTCTAGAGCAGCCATACTCAACCTGCGGCTTGCGGGCCATATGCGGTCCCCCAAGCTTTTTTGTGCGGTCTTAGCAATATTTTTAGGAAGGTGAATTTTAAAACTATGGCTTTTTGTTTTTAAAATTTTGAGCGAAATGCGCGAGAACATTAACATTAGGCGATAAATATGTGTTTTGTATATTACAGATCCCAACTAATTTTAAATTGTTGATCTACAGTCCTTTTTGAAACAAATTGTCCTTGCGACTTTTCAAAGCTTACTAAAACAACTATAAAAACATGAGGAAATATTTAAACCGGATCTTTATCGTCACCTGTTGTCCTTTATTTACATTTCAAAACAGTGGCAACCCTAGTTATCACCCAAAAATATTGCGGCCCGTGTAGCATAACAAACAGATTTATGTGGCCCGAAAGAAAAAAAAAAAGGTTGAGTATAGCTGGTCTAGAGTGACAGCCCTGATATTTGACTACCCATATATTTTTTGATAACCGATAACAACAAATTAGGAAAAAGTTTCTTACTAAAATTTCTGTACGTTAACAATAACAACTATACAAGGTATTTTCTTAGTTTAACCTCGAAAATACCTGTTAAGACCGATGCTCACGAACGTTTTTTTGCAGTCGCATTAACGTCACGTTGACGCAAACGCAATTTTTAATTCACACGCAGCGCTTCTTTTTCTCAATCCCGAAACAAGGCAGAGTAAATTCGTCTTAAGGACAAAAAAGATGGATGTAAGTTCGAAAAAAAAAGTTATATTTGTACCTATATCTTGTTTACAAACAGTTTGTGAGGAAGAAGAGGAAATACTGGGTATATACTTACTTAAGTTCCCGTTTGCTAAAGGTAAAAAGGTGCTTTCATATTAAGCTTTTTAACTCAAGAAATAATGATAATTTTTTTTAATTATATGCTCATTGTTGAAACTGAATGTAATGTTTAAATAAAATAAGTTCATTTTGGGATGTTCCTTTATTTCTTTTATGAATAATCATGTGTCGAATTGCTCATCGCCCATAGCTACTTCGTTTTTCTACCCCTCTCGTGTGTACTTTTTGAAACAAACTAATATATATATGCAACGTCAACGTACCGCTGAGATGTGGCGTCGAGAAGGTACCAAGCGGTGGTATTTTTCCAGTCACGTTAACGATATTCTATGACGCTGACGTAACGTTGGCGTTGCATCATGTGACTTGATTGAATGTAATTCGACGCCACCCTATGAATGCCGTTGCATCGACGTGACTGCAACAAACGTTCGTGAGCACCGGCTCTTAAAATGTGGATGTGGACCGTTGTACTGGGACATGAAACTACTGTTTTATCTGCTAAAATTTTAAAATACCTATTTATTTTCTTTGCTTCTAAACCTATTATACTTGTAAATTTTACTAACCATTGTTTTTTCTTTCTTCGATAAGAATTTACCCAAATTTTGTGGCATTTGAAAATATTTTACATTATACTATTTTTAGATTTCGTATTATGATTTTTGTAAGTCGCCACCGCGTAGCCCGGCATTTTAAACATTAATTTAGTTCTTCTTTGTTATATACAGGAAAATATAGTCACCACTAACACAAAAACAAATAACTATTTTACAGTATTCAATATAAAAGTGTCAAAATAACTTGAAAGTTCGTCCCGCATTACGTCACTGCGCGGTTTGGACGAAATTTGAATCGAAAGTCAGCATACCATTAGTATGTGTATCGTGCATGCATCCACAATATATCCCCTATAGTAATGTTACTGGGATTCAAGAAATGGCTTTGAGTTACGCTGCGGCCAGACACAGGCCTCATGGCGCTGGTATCGTTTTGAATTTTGACACGTCCAACATCTTCACGTTCATTATTTGAAGAGAAAGTTCTTGACAAGCGAAGCATGAAGTGTCAGTATTGATAAGTGATAATTTTTTGATTTTTTCTTCTACGAAATTTATACCGTTTATTAATATTAATTTTGTTTCAGCGATATTTATTGATTTGTAATGTTGTATTAAGTGCTTACTTATTTAATATGGGAAACAAAACGTACAACAAACTCAGAAAAAGAGGAATCAAGGAGGGATTGCTATGGCTGTCATCCAAGGGTCTCCGCCCTAGATAATATTTTTCCAGTAGGAAAAGCCTTTAAAATTCAAGTATAATAATTTTATGTATCCGTTTTCCCTTCTTTTAATGTAGGTGCCAATTTTGAGGTAAGTTTGTAATAATTTTTCATATTTTTTCAGTTAATACCTACCCTCTTAATATTATAATTTAACTAAGATCTTATGATTTCCTATGGACACGATTCAAGGAGGAAGTCCTATGGCTGTCATCTAAGCCCTAGATAATAGTTTTCCAGTGGCAACAGTCTTTAAAGTTCAAGTATAATAATTTACTGTTTCAGTTTTTCTCCTTTTTCGAAGTAGGTGTCCGTCTATATACAGTATCGGCTAATGAACACTTTCCAATACGCTTGGCTAGCATCGAAGAGAAAACTAAAGAGTTATCATTAGTGTGATCAGGAAACGAATATGAATGTTGCCTTGTGTGCTGTGGAATATGAACAGGCACACGGTGCGATGCATCCCCACGTATCCGGCTGGCTACGTTCATAGTATTCTATTCATTTTCCCACTAATGCTAACTTTTTGTAGTTTTTACTTGGACAAAACGTATTGTACAACATTCGATAGCTGTCACTGTATTATCACAAACATATCTTAACTAAATGATTTAATTTTTTTTTTTTTTTCAGTAAAATGGATATGTCTAGAGTTATCCTCGACTTTAAAATAAATTAAATAAGTTTTATAATTTTTCAAATAAAATACTTTATACAATTTTTTGTTTTTTTACCAGAGCCAATTTTTTGTTCAAATCTAACCTCTATAGGTAAAAAATAAGTGATTCAGGTAAAATTGAAAAGTATATTACATGTTCTTTTAAATGTGTTGTTAATCCAAATGCTGCTCTTATTGTAATAGCTAACAATAAAAGAATTAGTATTATATTTAGCTATCAAAATAAAAATAGCGCCTGGATTTACAGCTCGTTTAATGGAACATTCAATATACTTCTCAATTATTGCCGAATAAATATATTTAAAAGTTCCCGCCATTCCGCTGCTGGAAATTTACGATTTTGGCGGGAAATTTAAATTTCGCCTTAAAATTATATTTGAAAGTTTATATTTTTTAAATTTGACTTTTGAGACTACAAATCAACCTAAATTTGAAATTTAAACAAAAATTAAACAAACTAATCACTTTTACATTCATGCTAGCAAAAACAAAGGATAAATTGACAAACTTGGCTTCACAGAACGCTTACTTTCTGGCATGGAACGAACATCTCATTTCAAATCGAGATGTAAAAAATGTAATCTGGACAGGTACATCTCGGATAAACAAACGCAGATGTAGTAGATGTATCCGATGTGGATAAACAAACGCTCGAGATGTAAAAAATGCATCGGATGTGGATATTCAAACGCGGCAATAATACAAAGATTTTTAAAGATAAAATTAAATTAAATCGCCATGGTACGAATTCATGAATTTTGTTAATTTTTCAACGTTCCGTACTGTGTCCGAGGTTGCAAATTTACCAGATTGTTAAGAAAAATAATATTAACATTTGCAACCAATTTTCAAAACTTTTGCATTTTGTTGACAAAATTAGAGGAAAATAAGAAATTATTTTGATATTTTTACATAAAAAAATATTTCCGTGCAAAATAAAAGTTTACAAATTGGAATGACTGTTCCAAAAACTTGTTTGAGTTATATCATCAGTTTGCACTTCTGCAATTTTTTTTATCTATGATATAAACAAAAACGCTATTTTACAAAAAAAAATCATGTTCCTGACTTTCAAAAAAGTCTGATATAATGTTGAAAATAAAACGATATAATATATTACTTCAAATTTGCAGTACTTTTGCAATTGTTTTTAGAAAGTTTTGATACATTTTAATTTTTTGCAATTATTAATATGTTCCGAACCTCAAAGAAAAGTTGCAAAATTAAATTTACAATTATTTCAATTTAATAAATATTCCGACGAAGTTTGAAAATTTTTGTTAATTAATTTGAATTGATTATCTCTAATGACTGGCTTAATTTTTTCCTGTTTCTCGGGTTTTTTTTTTATGGATATTGACATTTGGATTGCTAATAAAAATATATTATAGTTTTTGTTATTATAATTCTATTTATATTAAATAAACGAAATAAATACTTAAAAAATATTTGCTTATTTTACGTATCTTACCATTTTTAATTTTAAAATTAGTTCTGTAATAGTTTCATTGGACATATTTGAAATTTCGACTTTGATTTTAGCAACTTCACCTAGTACAAATGCTTCTTTCTCTAAAATAAGGTCCATAGTGATAGGTTCGCTAGCACAGCACATACAACATAATATTTTTTCGTCTTTTAACCCAACAGGATTCTAAAAATTGAATAATTTAGAAGCATTACAGGGTGGGCAAATTTCGGCTTTTTAATAGAGAATCTGGTATGGAAAAATGAACCTCCCGTCCTCGATCTCTGTTTTTGAGAAAAACTTAATAGTACTTTCAAAAATTGGCTTTTGTCTTTTGTTTTCGAGTTATAAACAAAGGCACGTTTTTTCAAATTTTCAATATATAGCATTATCTCACTTATTTATGAAAGTAGAAGAAAATTATTTATACCTTCTTCGGGCACTTTTTGATAAGTATCCAGTGGCGTAGTCAATTATTTTTAAAAATTCTTCAAATTCGAGTTATATCATAATGTTGTATTTTTTCATATGGAACGGGTAGTTGGCTGTGGCATACAAAAAAGACAAAAGTTTTCTCATTCTAACGATATATATAATGTGGCGTTAGTTTATTCATTTTCATTGTTATTTAGCAAAATCTCATTATTTTCAAAATAATCTATAATACTGTTACGCAGCACCCTGCAGCGTGCTGCAGTCGTCATAAGTAAAAGTACAAGTAAAAAAGATAGAATATTCCAGAAATGTCATTACTTGTCAGAAGAAAAATCTAGGCAGTTCGAGAAGGTTCAAGAAGCCGATAATCCTGAGTCAGTTGGCAGTTTTATAATAGACGTTATACCACAGAATAATCTACTTATTTCAGAAGCGAAGGATAGCTAATTTTTAGGGTCCAAAATTTTTTGCGCATGATCAGGTCCGCCATTTTATAACCGACAAAACTGTCATGTCACCAGGGCCGACGAGAGGGAGGAGTAGCCGGGACAAATTCCCGAGGTAAGGGCACAAATGAAGAAATGAAGTTACTGGACAACTCTGTACTCAACAGAAGACACGAAAGAAAGAAAAGCCATTTGATCTAGTGCAGTGAACGTTAGTGCTAGTGTAAAACAGTGTAATAAATCGTTACGCCATTTATTGGTGATGATTTTCTATCAACGACGAACAACTACTAGATTAATTTTGTTTTCAAAAATTGAATTGCAAACAATCACGGATTTATCCACTGAGTTGTCAAATTATTATAAGAGAGTATGGCGAAAGGGTAGATGTTGCTAAATAGGTTTGTTACAGATATTTAAATCCTTTTCTCAGTGTATTATCCGAATTTATACGAATATTGTTCATTTCTACCAGTGTAACAACCGGCAAAAACGTCACCGAGTGTCACTTTAAATTTTGACCACCCAGATATCAAAGTGCCGACCAGTTGTATTATAATTGTAAAAGAAAAGCGCAGGAAGGAGGAAGATGAGGAAAAGGAAAGGCAAGAAAGAAAAAGAGAAGGAAGAGAGGCGTAGAAAAGAAGAGGTTGAAATTATGAATAATTTGCTGTAAATTCAAGAAAACTTTAAGTAAAAGGTAGGTCAGCTAAACAGCCGAGTAGGTAGATATCTTAACACAACAACAAGATAATTTAGAACAGCATCAAGAGAATCTAAAAACTAATTTAGAGAACTTAAAAACGAATTTAGTACAACAATAAGAGAATTTGAAGACTAATTTAGAACATCAACAAGAACAGGCCAGAGTAGAGTTGGAAAGGCAAATTAGAGAGTTAGAGAGAAGAATACGTAGTCAAGCTTCCGTAAGAAACATTGAAGCTGAAAACACTACCTCGTCTTCATCTGTAACCGACCAAAACTGTATTCGAACCCCAGTCTCACAAGACCATCGTAGCAAGATCATTAAGCCACTCACGTTTGATGGTCAGACAACATGGGAAATGCATCGCCGCCAATTTGAGGCTGCAGCTAGAATCAATGGCTGGGCTGAAAAAGAGATGGCGGCTGCATTAATAGTGTCACTGCAAGGTCAGGCAACAACCGTTTTAGAGGTACTTCCTCAAGAAGAAACCAGTTATTCATGTCTAGTCCAAGCTTTGGAGATAAGATATAGCTAGCAGCATTTGAAACGGGTATTCTAAAGCCAACTAAAGGTTTGCAGTGAGAAACATAATGAGAGTCTACAGGAATTCAAAGCCGATATAAAACGATTGATTCATCTGGCCTATCTACAGGCGCCCAAATATTTCCAAGAACAAATAGGAATACAGGCATTTATTGATGGACTACAAAATGTGGAAATGCAAAAAGCCCTTCGTCTACAAAATCACAAGATTTTGAGGGATAAACTGATTGCAGCCCAGGAATATGAAGCGGTAAAACTCATATCCAAATCTTCTCACGCAAAAGTGATAGAAATTAAATCCCAGGAAAGTAAGGAGGCCAAAACTAATGCTATTCCCCAACCTACTTTCTCGAAAATCTTAAATATCCTGCAAAATATGCAACAAAACAGCCAAAAGGGAAGGAGATGTTTTAATTGTAGAAGAATCGGGCACCTTCAAAGAACCTGTAAAAGCAGGGCTCGTTCTATAAATCGAGAATCAGGGAATGAGGCCGGAAACTCACATAAATCAAACTTCCGAAGCCCGTCGCGAAGTCCAACAAGAAATAGTCACAGCAGCTATGCAAGCCAATCAACCACACCTAGCCGGATTTCTAGGAATAACCAGGAAGTAGAGCATCGAAGAGGACGTCTCCATAGCAACGCAGACATTCTCTCCAAGCGACCCTATTTAGAACGAGAATGTCGGTACAGTAAAGGGCTTAGAGAACAAGAGGAACCAGTTGATAAAGTTACTCTTCAGACAACCACCATTAAGCCAGAGGGTGAAGAAAAAGAAGAAAAAGAAGAAGAAGAAGAAAAAGAAGAAGAAAAAGATGAAGAAAAAGAAGAAGAAGAAAAAGAAGAAGAAGAAAAAGAAGAAGAAAAAGAAGAAGAAAAGGAAGAAGAAAAAGAAGAAGAAAAAGAAGAAGAAAAAGAAGAAGAAAAAGAAGAAGAAAAAGAAGAAGAAAAAGAAGAAGAAAAAGAAGAAGAAAAAGAAGAAGAAAAAGAAGAAGAAAAAGAAGAAGAAAAAGAAGAAGAAAAAGAAGAAGAAGAGAAAGAAGAAGAAAAAGAAGAAGAAATCACCCTTGAAAGCCTTGAAGGTTGTCCGAGAATGGCTCAAAAATAAAGTCACACCTACTTGCCAAGAGATAGCCAAATACAGTGGAGCTATTAAAGGGTACTGGACTCAGTGGGATTCCCTGTATCTTCACGATGGCCTATTGCACCGGAAGTGGGAGAGCCTTAATGGAGTATATGTAGCCCGCCAAGTGGTATTGCCGAAAGCACATGTCAGAAGTGTGTTGAAGGAGCCCTTCAGGAGGACATTTTGGTATTAAAAAGACACTGGCATGGGTTCGGGAAAGATTTTATTAAGTCAATTGCCGACGGGATGTACTGGATTGGTGTAAATAATGTGATGTATGCAATGGCAGGACAAAGGTCTGCGGATTCGCTCGGGAACGTTTGAAAGTCAATAGCGATAAAGCAGAAGCTAGAATCGACAGGCGTGCCACAGGGACACATTTTGAGAAAGGCGACCCAGTACGGCTGTACAGTCCCAAGCACCGAGGAGGACTTTGCCAGAAATCGCAACGGAACTGGGAAGGCCCCAACGCCATCCTTGAGAAACATCAATGACCTGATTTACCGCATTCGGCAGTCAACGGGAAGTAAATCTAAGGTAGTTCATATTGTAAAGTTAGCGCAATACCGTGGTCCAGATCCTCCCTATTAGCTTCAACCAGGTCCCAGCAATGTTACGCAACACCCTGCAGCGTGCTGCGATCGTCATTTGTCAAAAGAAAAATCTAGGCGGTTCGAAAAGGATCAAGCTATATAAGCCTATGATCATGACGTCAGTTGGCAGTTTTATGATAGAAGTTATACGTAAAAGTTGAGTTGAAATAAATTGCGATAACGACAAAACCTGTGTAACAAGGTATATATTATTGCATGTTATTAAAATACTGAACAACATTTGATTGTTTATGACATCACTTTTAAAGAGCTAAATGGTCTAAAAAAAATTAAAAATTTAATTTGTAAGAATGTTTTATTCAACGTAATAACAATTCTGAAGTTGCAAGTGAATTATGTTTTAATCGTTACCGAGAAAGAACCTAATAATTCTATTTTAAAACAATTAAAAGAAAATCTCATACAATATAGAACTTTTAACAAATCAGGGACAAAGAATTATAATATTGACGATGCTGTTCTACCAATTACAACATCATTAAATAACAAAACTATCTAGACTATATTTTCAAATTGTTGTCCATTATTCGCAACACATAAACGACATCGTTTGGAAACATTCCGAATTGCGTTATAAATATGGATATTGGAGATGGAATTAACACACTGTATAAAATTTTGCATTAGTTCGTCAATATTATTAGAAGTATTTTTGTGTAAATAAATTGTCTTTATATATCCCCAAAAGAAGAAATCTAGGGGCGTTAAATCTGGTGAACGTGGTGGCCACCTTACCGGTCCTTTTTTTCCCTATTCATTTGTCTAAATAACAATGAAAATGAATAAAATGACCCCAGAATATATATAAAAATACAACTTTATGCTAAAACTCGAATTTAAAGAATTTTTTAAAAAATTGACTACGCCACTGGATTCTTATCAAAAAAGAGCCTGAAAAAGGTATACATTATTTTCTTTAAATAAGCGAAATAATGCCACAATGAAAATTTCAAAAACCAACTTATTTTATAATTCGAAAACAAAAGACAATAGACAATTTTTGAAAATGCCATTAGGTTTTTCTCAAAAAACGATCGAGGATGGGAGGTCAATTTTTCCATACCATTTATAGTTAACGAGATTCTCTATTAAAACATCGACATTTTCCCACCCTGTACAGATGGGACTGCGTATGTTTTTAAGCTCCACTATTTCCGCTCTAGATAAACAAATAAGCTATTCTTACCAATTGTAGTTCATTTCGAATATCGTTGAAATTGATAGGAGAAAGCAATGATAGAGTAATTTCGTCTTCGTAATCGAACGCAAAGGATTTATCAACGTTTGCTTTAATATAATATCTGATGTATCCATAGTTGCCATGATAAGGATTGGGAAGATTCCTAGTGGGAAAAGTAAAAGAAAAAGGGTATTCATAGTGACCGGCGTGTAAAGAACCTAAAACAAAAGTTAAATAGTTAGATCTAAAATGAGAAGCCTAGCGATTGATTTGTAGGACTGGTAAATAGAAGCAAACGTTTGTAAAGTCTTAAACTTAAACGTGGCCATATCTCATTATCTCTTTTGCTTTTTATATTTGCCTCAAATAATATTTTTATCTCAATTAAAATCAGCGTTATTCATTTACCAATCTGCAAGTAAATTTCGGAAATTTTAATTAGTTTATAAATGAACATTAAAAATAAAACGTACCTTCACCAACGAGTATAAGATTAACATATATAAAGGTATTGTCACCAGAGTAATGTACAGTCCGGTATTTTGTCGATTTTGAAGAACTGTCATAGTAACTTTCTCTCTCCGTCCAAGCAGTGTGTTCTTTTCCTCGAAATCTGCATTTAATAGCTCTGAAGTTTTCTTTGGAATTAAAGTTTACCACTACCCTTCCGTACACCGAATCTCCAGGATGGTACGATCCTGGATTATCTAGTACTATTCGGCAGGTCATATTGGTTTACTGCAATAAAAAATGTAAATATATTAATACAATAGAAGGTCAGTTTCTTTCTTATGAGTAGGTTTTTTGGTGATATGTCTTTTCTTTAAGAAATTTAAACATTCTGCTTAATTAAATTATAGTTGCGGTTTTGTATAATATATTCTACAGCTACAAGAGAAAATCCGACCTCCAAAGACGTTCGGTGGTAGACATTTGTGCGTTACGTTTCAACATCTAATAATGTTCATTCTCCTTTTAGTGGTTTTTATAATATTTACCCAAAGTCAGTCCCCAAAGATATTTACGAACCTACACTTTACAAAACCATTAACAAATAATGAATATCTTGAAAACCTTGCTTTACTTGGTGATTTAATCTTAAATTTTTCCATTTGTAAGTAACAGTAACTACTTTAATTATGCTTCTATTGTTGTATTCTAAATGATTTTTATTTTTCAGGTCTCCTAGGAATTTCGAACACTTAACTTGAACATTGTTTAAAAACCATTAATAAAATTGTTTAGAAATTATTTTTAGCTAAACTCTGTTCTGTTTTGAGAAAAATGCTTATTGCTCTTATGTAAAAAGGTATGTGATCAATCATGAAATAATTCTTTGTAGAAGGCAAATACCAAGAAAATTGAAGCATTTACTTCAATAGATGGGAGCAGTATTAAAATCAATCGAAATATTATAATTTAACGTGTAAGTAATATTGTTTACTTTTTGGAACATTTATATTATAATAATTGTTTTTATTTATTTCGGGTTTACTACATCTGGCTCATCTACACACCTGAAAGTAGAGGTAGTCCACAGCCTCACTAAAAAAATAGCCCCCTCTACTAAATAGTTTTTCTGGAATAGTTAGAAAATGACCTGTAATATTTAATTTTTTTATTTGGTATTTGTGTAACAATTTCGGATAAATGGAAATTTCTGAGAAGTAAACGTACCACTGATCTAGGTACATTGATGTTGTACGTTAGACATACACAGGAATCATAAAAGTAACAAAAACGTCTTTTAGAGCCACCATAATATGTCGACATCCTTTTTACAATATTAAATCGACGGACTAAGAAAAGCATAGTTAGACCATCGATTGCTATAGAAGAAGAAAGTAGGGAGTTTTGAAAATGTACACTGGCAATCTAATGTAAATACAATAATTAACAAACTTGTGTAATCTTTGAAAACGAAAATATTGGTGGAGGTGGTGGCACTAATACCCACAGGGGTATTTTCTTGAATAGAAAATATTCAGCAATTTCTTACTGTGTAACAACTGAAAGAAGATTCATTTGTAGATGAACAATACATCTGTTTTAGTTAAAAATTTAACTACATATAATTAATTTAAATAAAATCACTTTTATACAAATTCAACGTGTCTGTCTCAGATAAATTATAAGATACAAACACAAACCAACTATATTTTGCAGCTTGCCTGCAAGAGTATATTTCTCTGGTAATATCTTAGTTCAAGCTTCTTTAATCTCATATTTCTTTGTTTTAATTTTATAGTTTCGCACGATAAAATGCCGCACTCCGCTGCGCGTTGTACGGCAATCTTTTATCTTAAGCGGCAAAGTAGCACTTTCCGCTTTTAATACACAAATAGCTATTTTCAAAATTAAAACGTCATTTTTCGAGTCAGAGAAAAAAAAATAGTTATACACGAGAGAAAAACACAACATCGGGCTAAAATTTAATACTTTTTCCCATTAAATAACTATTTGTTAAAATGAATTGTGGGGGCCCTTCACAATACCACAACATTCGTCCTTTAAAAATTACTGAAAAAAAAAAAACATTTATGGGCCCGTATCTCCGTAGGTGTAGATTAAAGTAGAAAAAAAAATATACGAGTTTGTCATTATTTTTATGTCTTCGATATGAATCCGGGAGATTGCCCACCTATTCTGCAATAACCTATATATAGGGGTCCATATCTATGAAATTCCAGTGGAAATACGTAGAATTCAACAGAGTTGTATTTGCATTCTTTGGAATCATTTAAGGAAGTGGAATTATGTTATACTTTTTTTTTTGGTGATTTAACCCTCGACAACAATTATAGCTTTTCTAAAAGTACCTATGCTAAATTATTAAAACAGTACAATTTGAATTTATAATATGAATATCACAAGAGACCTGAAGAAAAAAATCTTATGTGTCCAACACATGATTTTCCTATCTAATTATTATAGGCCTTTTCCGGTTATTTTGAACAACCTATTGTAGCACCTCTATAAATGTTTAGAGGATAAACTAAATATATACATTTTCCACATACATCTAATTCGAAACATTTTTCTATAGATATTCAATGAAAACGAAAATACTGAAAAATTTAGCACTTTTCCTCCAATTTTTCCATTACGGTCCAGAAAAATCATGTAAAAACAAAAATTATAGAGATCGATGTCGCAAACAACTTTTAGTTCAACAATTTTCTTAAAAATCAGAATTTTGCACATTTTGTCAAATTTCTCGAATACGGACCATTTCAGGAAATTTTGACATAAAGCAAAAATTATAGATAATAATATTAGAACAATTTTTTTCTCCAAACATAAATAACAGATATATTGTATAAAAAAAGGCCTCCCATAAAGTAACCCCCAGATGTTTCGACTTTGTGAAAAATCTAATAATTTCACGTCAAGCAAGTTTAAAATTTAATGTATTTTCCTTTATCGGTTTTTGAGTTTTCTTCAAAATTCGAAATTTACACATTTCCTTAAATATCTCGAATACGGTCCATTTTAGAAAAATTATGTATAGGATAAAAATTATAGAGAATTATATTACAGACAACTTTTATTTAAACAATTTTTATAAAAAATTATTTTTTTACATTTTGTCAAACTTCTCGGATACGGATCATTTTAGGAAAATTTTATATAAAAACACACACACATACACACACACATTATTAAAAAATTACGCCATTGTGGCTAATAGTACCGTTCAGATATTTAAAATTATTTTTTTAAGGTGTATTCAATTTCCCATGGACATCCACTAAATATATCAAAGTCTAGGTGCGAACGCAAACCATCGTGGATATCCACTAGATGTAATTTTTAATTTTGCTCACTAAGTATAGATGGCGATACCACTTTCGCTCGTGCTCATGCTCAACCCGCCGTAATTGAGTTCGATCGAAATTTGTAGATCAGTCAGACTCCATTAGAGACTGGAGTCGAGTTTCCATTTATTGTTGAAGAGTCCTAATAAGAATGACTTTATCCTTAGTGGGCAAAATCAAAGGCAGTGTGTTGAAATTATTTTGAGTGTTGAAAATATTTTTACTCTGCTATTTTCTTTCGATGTTATTCAATAATCATTGGTTACTTATGAACATCTACTAAAGATATCCATAAAATATTTTGCTGAATATCCGAATTCTTCTATATCCTGGGATATAGACGGACATTTGGTTGGATATCCATACTGGATATATTGGATATCCACAAAATATATTCTAGATATTTTGCTGGATATCCATAGGGATATCTTCTATATTCTGGCTATAGACGGACATTTGGATATCCATATTAAATCCACGGAATATTTCTGATATCCTATGGATATATTGGATATCCACAAAAGATATTCTGTGGATATCTCTGGGATTTGGTGTATTTTCTGAATATAGATCCCGGTACAAATATAGGTAAAAAACTGTCAGTGTTTTAGAAAGGTATATTATAAACTTTCTAAAACATTGACAGTTTTTTCATACATCTGTACTGATACCTATATTCTGTCACTGTGAACACCCTGATGAGCCGCCAATGGTTAACCCAGCACACTGCAGCCTCTTGAGTCTATTGTATTCCCCTAATTTACCCGTATCCAGGTACTATATCTAAATAGTTTTATACCTTTGGTTAGTTTACTAGCAAGTGCTCCGGAGACGACTTTTCCGGTTTTGGACCGTAAAGGGTGTGTCGCTGTCTAACAAGAACTTCGAAGATAACATGGTATGAAATTTCTTCGTCTTCGTAAAAAAATCATATATATTTTTGGGTGCGTTTTACCTAATCTATGACGCCGGGGTTTCAGAAAACTAATATTTTTAAAAAAAGTAGTCATCAAGTAGCAGATTAAATCCCAAATAACCAGAATTTGTCACAATGCATAATTTTCTCGTAAAAAAATAATACATATTTAGGGGTGCGTTTTAACCTATGACGCCGGAGTTTTAGAAAACTAAACGTATAATTTTCTCGTAAAAAAATAATGTTATGAAATTCTTAAAGCCTGCCCTGTGTACACTCGACCTTCACATTGCGACCGACTCGTGCTCGAGGCGACGGAATGTTCTGGGAATGCCGCTGAGACTCGAGAAACAGCTGGAACGGCGGAGAAGTGCCGATTAGTCATAGGGGTAGAATCTTCGCGAAGTCTCTAGCATTTTCCAGTAGCGGAGTTAGACTAATATAAATAGTCGACGTATCAGCGCCGAGTTTAGTTTAATATAGAACGTTGTATTGAAAAGTAAAAGTGTAAGAAATAAATTAGAATTGTTAGTTAGTGTTCAAATATTATATATTAAATAGCACGTCTGAAATAAATTGTAAATAGTGTGTTTTTAAATAAACAAACTTTAAATAAATTAGACTTTCGTCACAATAATATATATTTAGGGGTGCGTTTTAACCTATGACGCCGAGGTTTTAGAAAACTGAAATTTTTAGAGAATGTAGTCGTCAAATACCTGAATAAATCCCACTTAGTCAGAATGTGACACAAAGCGCCGTTTCCTCGTAAAAAAATAATCTTTTATGGGTGCTTTTTAATCTATGTCGTCGGGGGTTTAGAAAACCGCTATTTTTTGAACAAGTAGTCCTATCGTAGCAGATAAAATCCCAAATTACCAGAATGTGGTACAACGCACCATTTTCTCGTAAAAAAATAATATCCTCGTTTATGATATTACCTATATATAGTCCTCATAGGTCTTAAAAATCCGCACAGCCAGAATATATGTGATACAAAAACGCAGTGATTACGTAAAATCATATTGATATATTTTTATGTTAAATTTATATCATCTCATTACATATTATTATAAATTTTGCTCGTTAATAAGAAGGGAGACAAAGCATCTAAATGAAAAATGTTAAGTACTTAAAGTATTGATGCATTTAATGCCGCGTATGAGAATCCACATCGGATGCATTTTTTACATCTCGAGCGTTTTTTTATCCACATCGGACACATCTGTCTCATTACATTTACGTATACTGAATCACGTGATCAAAGATTTACTACAGCTTTGTCCCAACATCTCACAAAACCGTAATATTACGGTCATCGTCTTGCGCAGTAAATAAAAACCGTTCGACTTTGGGCTTTATTGATAGGTTTTTATCCTATAAAAAAAAAATATATGCTATGTAGAATATATTTCTATAAGTCCCACGGACAAGATTCGCCTTTAGTGGTACCAACTTCTGTTAAATATAAGTTAAAATTGCAATTCGATTTTTAAAGTGAATCAATTATTATTATTAATTATTATTAATTATTATTATTATAAACCATTTTATTTTTTCGGTGTAATGGCTTTGGTGGATTCTACCCAAGTAGCCAGTGTCAGTTTGTTTTGAATTTTATATGTTTGATCTATGCAGGCTTTATTAATGATTCTCAGTGCCACTATATGAGCAGCACTGTTAATTAGAATCCAACAGGGTCGATTGGGGAACCCTAACTATGCATTAGAATTTTTTTTAATTAATAGAAAAAATTCCATCACTGACAAAATTCAAACCTGGGATCCATGGATCTGAAAGTTCTGATATTTTATTTTAATACACAAAACAAAATAATAAACAAACAGAATCAAATAAAATTAAAAAAAAAATTATAGTTTTTTAAAAAATTTCTTTTGGTTGGCCTTAGAGGGAAAGCACACTCACGCGACATGTCGCGTGCGACCTGCCGCATGCAATTTTTTAGGTGCGATTTTTAACAAACGACAAGCAGCGACACAGACGTTCAGTAGCAAAATAGAGGTGGAAGAAGTAGTAACGGTGTTGTTTTATTCTGTTCGTCGGCCGAAAAAATTGAAACAACGAAGGTACTGGGTTCATCTATTATATATAGACCCTTATGTAAAAGGCGCATTTAATTTATTACATAAGGATTTACATCAACACTAGGATAAGATCTTCAAATATTTCAGAATGAGAGTAGTATCATTTGACGAACTGTTAGCTTAGATTCCCGAACAAATATTTGTTTCGCTATTTTATTTCAATTAACTGTTGAGGTCGGTCTTGAATATCGGATATAAATTCATCTACATCAATACAACTGTCGGACATTTTTTCACTGGAACTGTCGAAAAGTTAACAAGAAACTCAAACTCTCAACTGGTGTTTCGCACGCGACTTGACGTTTGTATGAGTGATGCTCCATATGAATCCATGATAAAGCTGGCCGCGTGCGGCAGGAAAATCGCGGGCTTGTCATTTCTAATTTTCAGCCGCGTGCGACCACGCGACAGAACCGCGTTAATGGGCTTTGAGTCATTTAAAAACATCTAAAGTATTGCCGCTCGCGATACCTCGCGATCAGTCGCGCGCGATGTGTCGCATGAGTGGGCTTTCCCTCTTACATAGCACCAAAATTTCAAAATTTTCATCTGTCAAGCCGTTCCATCGAGGTGCGTCGATTATACCTGCAAACGAAAATAATCATTCGACTGCACCAGACGAAGGAAGACAAGTATTAAATTTTATAAAAAAAATTTTTAATGTTGGATATTCATCGTTTATCTTCTAAATATCTCAACAGCTCCAATCCGATTTTTGAAGTTGTTTTATTTTTAGGTGCTGATAATGAATAGGAGTTTCTTGCCATTTCGCTATTGTTATTTGACATTGGCTCTACCTTGTCTTCACTAAAATCAAAGAATTGATCTAAATTTGTTGTGTCACTCTCATCTGATAATACATCAGAGTTTGACTCGTCCAAATCTCTAGCTTCGTCTATAATAAACTTTTTTATCTTTTCTATAGTATAAGCAGGACATTTTACGATATTATACCATCTGAATTTAAATTGGGGAATTAAAACGGCTGCAATTACGGCTGTTTTACAATTAAGCGACAGTATGTCAGCAAATCTTTTTCGCGCCGGCGTAGTTTGGTCTCTAAAAGGATCCGAGACTGATATTGATGATTCGAATACGAATCCTTTAGGATTTTCTCTGCGAATCCGGATCACGGATCCTTTTTTTCTAAAGTATTCGAATCTCGCTCTCGGATCCTCAAAAAGGATTCGAATCCTGGATTCGAATCCTATGTGATTCGAATCCTCCCCAGCTCTGCTTCCTGCGAATAAAAAATACTTGTTGGTTGGCTTAGGAATGTTTTTATCGAACCCGATATTAACTAGAAACTTCACATAATAAAGAAAAAATTAGGCACGATATATTTGCCCTACTTTCAACTATACTTTGCGTTTTCGAAGTATTATCCATGATTTTAAAATAATTTACGCTCAAATCAATTCCCCGCCTATGGTGGCATCTGCTTAAATCGGATATAATCGATCTTTGACCTTGTTTTTTTATCGTATACCATTTTAATTTTTATGTACTAAACGACGTCCCTGAAAACTAGAATATAAACAAACTAGATACCTAGATAATAGATAAAAGTTGGTAGGCACACTAATACATATAATTTTATTTACAATTTTATTTATCGTAAGTGCACTCAAAATTCTAACCTAAAAAAAACTGAAGCATTCCAAATTAATTATTTGGTGTAGATAAGTTTAATTCATAAAAGAGACAGTAATGAATGAATGAATGAATGAAAAATCAAAACTACTCACCGCCCAGGTCGAGGAACACTTAAAAACAAACAAAATACCTAAACTAGTTTATTGTTATATTTTTAAAAATAGCAATTAAAAAGTCCACTAACACACCGCCATAAAATGCGCGTGGGATGAAATTGAATTAAAATATTATATAATGGGCGTATCGGAGTGTACATGCAGACAGCATTAAAACATTCGAATTTTTTTGTGATTGGGATTGGAACCTTGAATCAACAACGTGGCGCCCCAACTGTCTGTGCCCTGTGCCGTCTGTTGAAGCGGTCATAGGCGGAGTTCGAGTAATCTATTATGCTAAAAGCGTATATTATAATAGGTATATTGTAGCTTCGTTTTAGGTCTAGAACCAAAGTCGGTTTTAATTATTAACGATTTACCTACCAAAATTAAGTTACAGATATGTAAGTACAGTAAGATAAATACAGATAAGTACATAACCAACCGGTGACAGGATTTTTATGCAATTTAATGAATTAAATATTAATTCTAAAACATAGGTAAAATTCCCCACTCGACCATTCACTTTTGGGTTCTAATTAACAGTGCTGTCCCTAAAGTGGCCCGGGGAAACAGTAACAATGCCTACACAGAACACAGACTAATAACCAAAGCAGTTGCATGGAAATACAAGTAATATTAATGGAGATGCCATGACAATTGTTTCCCATAAGATACGTGTTATTAAAAATGACCCCACTTGGCGTGGCTTAAATGGTAGTCTAAGCAGGGTCGTATTTAGTTCTAATTAAAGTCGCCTGTGCAGAATTACAACTTTTATATAGGTAGCTAAGGTTTGTTTTAACATGACCAATCCGAAATTAAGCAAATTTATTGGGCAGGTATGACTTCTGCATTATTTGTTGACCCTTTTGCCACTGAATTAAATTAGATAAATGTTGCCAAGGTCACACAAGACATGAATTGTTCTATATTCACTATCTCGACTTTTAGTCAGATACTGTACTATATGATATTCGGAAAATATTAGATTTTATAATTTACTTTAAAACAAATTTTACAAATTTTAAAGTTTTTAATTATTTTTCACATATTTTGGACAAATTTGTACTACAGCTTCAGACAAAAACAGAGAGATGCATGGAGATTCTACTGCGAAGAAATCCAAAATTTCCCGTAGGCAGCGAGGCTTCAAAAAGCTCTCTCAAAAGATCCACACCGAAGCATTGTTACGCTAATCAAAGAGGATGGCACGAAAACTGCCAACCTCGAAGATAGCATCAAACTTCTGCTATCAACACACTTCCCTGACTCGGTCATCACAGACGTGGCGTACTGGGCAGAGGAAGAATACAATCCATCTGTCTATGATTGGCAAACTGCCAAATACATTGTAGATGATGAAACAATTAGATAGGCAATATCCAGCGTCTCTCCATTTGAATCGCCAGGTACCTGACGGTATTTATTCAGCCCTACTTCAGTGGGGTCTGGAAGAACTCACACCGCACCTGGTGGATATATTCAGATCCTCGTTGGCTCTGAGGTATATCCCAAAAAAATGAAGAAATATAAAAGTGGTATTTCTACCCAAACCTGGAAGGATGGATAACACTGTCCCAAAAACATACCGACCAATTAGTCTGACATCGTTTTCCATGAAGACATTGAAAATGCTATGCGAAAGGTTCATAAGGAATGCGGTGATTACAACACCACTACATCCATACCATACACCCCAGACAGATCTACTGATTCAGCCCTTCATCTAGTAGCTGGCCGGATAAAAGGATCCCTGGACAATAAGGAGTCCTCCTTGGCTGTTTTCATAGATATAGAAGATGCTTTTGATAAAACCACCTTCCCAAAGATAATACACTCACTAACCAACAGGAATGTTCTACAAATGGTTAGTGAATGGATACATAACATGCTATCAAAGCGAGCAGTAAACATAAGTGTAGAAGATGTGAATATATAAGAGGTTTGGTTGCGAGGGGATGTCCACAGAGAGGGGTGCTATCACCTCTACTGTGGAATATGGTCCTCGGCACCCTCATTAGCCGCCTCAATAATGACGTAATGTTACCCTATTTAATGGAATTAATTATTCTATATGGAAATTTCGCATTAGAGCCCTAATTGCCAAAGAGGGTGCACCACATGTACTAACCGAAAATCTTCCTGCTGCACTACCTGAAAATTTGCAATAAATGGAATTAACCGCAAAAGAATATATTATTGAATATATAAGTGATGTATTGATCGGCATGATTACCAAAGAAGTCACTGCTCGGGAAATATTAAAGAAGCTGGACACCATTTACGAACGTAAAAGCTGGCAGTGCAAAAGAAATTGCCGAGTTTTAAATTTCAACATGATACCCATTTGATCAAGCATTTTAATAAGTTTGATAAGATGCTAATTGTGTTAACCTCAGCTGGTGCTACTTTAACTGAGATGAGTAAAGTAGCTCATTTGCACTTAACATTGCCATCTTCATATGATGGGATAGTGACAACAATTGAACATTGTCAGAAGTCACTATCAGGGGTGGTTTATCCATTAGTTCATTTGTGCAGTTAACACCCAGTTAAATATTATAAAAACACATTATTTTAAAATCAAATAAATAAATTAAAAATATAATTTTAATATTCTTATTATTCTTGTACGCGTTAATCTCCACTTTTTTAGTTCGCGTCTGGCCGGCAGGTGAACTTAGCTCCCGAAGTGAAAACATTTGTAGTAATTGCAGGCATCTTGTTATTTGATTTGTGTTATGAGAAATGTCATACTTACGTCATCGTAAAAACAGTATTTTTAAAGCCAGTGAAAACTCGCAGACTGTTTCTTTTGGTTTATTTCGAGAGGATTAAAATTCTCCCAAAAATTTGAATTCTCATTGGCTTTAAAAATACTGTTTTCACGTTGATGACATATGACATTTCACACGAAAATCTTGAGAGAAATGAGTACTTTTAAGTTTGAAAATAAGTCCGTAACTTACAAAAATTATTAGTAGATACATGTTTTCATGGAAATTGTATTCCTCTAGAAAGACTTCGAATTTTAAAATATCCTCTTCGTCAAATCGACGAATCGTCAAGAGACAATAGAGCTCTTGGCTTATCAGAGAGTTACGATAGTGAGCTAGACGTTACTGAGCTTTAAACTGACCATATTTTGAAAAGTAGAAAGAGGGACAAATCGAAAACAAGGATATATTTCTACGAATTCTTTTTGCAGTAGTAATGGTTTGGTTCATTTAAGAGCAAAAAAATATATATAAAAGAGTGAGATGTCACGTCACCATAAAAATTTAAATATTTATATTTTTTTCGTTAGACAAAAGCTGAACACATGTTAAATCGGGACTAGTGGTTTAAAATCGGGACTGTCCCACCCAGTCTGGTCCCACCTAAATCGGAACAAATATTTTCGTTTATTGACAAAAAAATAACCAACATTTTGGGGGTTCACAGTAGCAGAATATTGATCTCGGTGCAGATGTAGTGTTTTAGAAAGGTATATTATAAACTTTCTAAAACACTTAAAGTCTTTTCATAAATTTGTACTGATATCTATATTCTGTCAGTGTGAACCCCCAAAATTATCGTGACGAGCCGCCACTGCTTATATCCCTCTATGCTCTATGGATGTTATACGTTTGTCTTTAATGTAAATAAATGATAAAAAGGAGCTATAACTTTAAATTATCCACCTTGTTTTAGTAAAATGTGTAGTGTGTTCAGTGCTACAAGTAATTTATAAATTAAAATATATTTGCAAATTGTACAGTTTTGATCAGCATCCCTTGTATAATCTAACAAATATACAAACAATAGGATGTTTTAGATCACTAAAAATAAAATAAAAAAATGTGATAGCATAAGACATCATAACAATAACATTGTATTTTTTAATGGCCAATATAAACATTATTTTTATATTATTTGTTATTTTGCCATAATATATTTTCAATTAATACCTACCAACTGTTTGATTATTCTATGTTATATTAGAGAGATCGGGCAAGCACCAATAGGGTCCTTACGCTAATTACCAACTACGTTATTTTCGAAATACCGAATGCACGCAAACGTGATTTTGTAGAGAGTTCGGGCAGACTAAATTTATTTTAGGTTTAACGTTATATTTTCGGGTATTTTCGATTTGACCATTGTTTTGAGAGCATTGACTTGACACTTTTTGTTCTTTGTTTCTATCATTTCATTTTGATTTGTTTAGATCGTGGCAATCGTAGTTTAGATTTATATATTTGTGTGGATTATTTTTTTTAGAATTAGCAATCTTGGCAAAGGCGGATGATGATATAGAGTTCATTATACTAAATATTATTTTGGAAAATGATAAAGAACCGCATGGTTTAAGTAAACTTAAATAAAATAATAAATTCCCATAAAACACTCCTAACAATGATTCAGCAATATTCTGCCTCTTCCCAATGTACTTTAAAAAAAACTACAATTACAAAAAAAATTTTAAAATGTCACTATATAACATTTTAAAACTACTACGAACACAATAGACGCCAAAACAAACAAATTCAAGCCAAACAGAAACAAGAAACCGGGAAATCGTTTCAAAAGACAAATGACAAGCGGCATATCACTATGGATGATATTAAATTCGGATACATTCGGCTTCCCTTATATTTCATAAATCCCTTTCGCAAACTTACGGAATTAGCGTTTTGCGACAACGGTAATAGGGTAATTCTGTAAATATTTTGATATGCGCTTGCGTAGATGTCAAATAATTCCGTACGCAATTAGCGTATCACGGTATTGGTGCTTGCCCGATCTCTCTATTATAAAATAACAGTTACGTTAAACCATGATATATTAAATGAAATTTCTAGATTTTGTTATTCTATAAAATAATATCTTTCACTTGCACATTTTTTATTCCTTGAAACTTATTTTATCAATAAGTCTCGGTGGAATTACCAAAAATTAGTTTTTATGACCTTAATCATCTATTTTATAACAATAAATATTGCTAACATTTTCTAAAAAAAAAAAAAATAAGATTTGGTTTTCATTCAGAAAAGTCCGTATCTGGCAGATCGGCCATATTGAATGACAACATCCACGCCAAGTGATACCGTTTTGAATGTTTGAAAATGATATTTATAGCGCCTCCTTACCTTATAACTCCATGACTAGCATATAAGTTAATAAAATGGCAACAGCGCAACAGCCAGTCGTCGACTAGAATAAAAAGATATAGTGGTGGTTAGCCGAACCGAATATCAGTGACAAAATCAGAATGTATAGCGACTAGTCTAAGATAGCGATAGCAAGGATATCGAAGTTGCCAAATGTTCACTGTGTAAGTACGGCTATGTCTAATACCTACAAAATATTAAGCACTGTATAACCAGAACCGACATCAATGACAATGTGGATGGATTCAGCGAAGCGCCTGGTTTTGAACGGAAACCTGTTATGGTAGAATAAATTAAAAAGACAATATGTACTTTTTTACCTATTT